TGGATGGATGGATGGATGGATGGATGGATGGATGGATGGATGGATGGCTGATTGGTTGACTGGTTGGCTGGCTGGCTGGTTGAAACAGGGTCTTATTCTGAAACCCAGGCTGGTCTCAAATTGTTGATCATCCTGCTTAAGCCTCCTGAATGCTGGGATTACAGACACAAGCCACCATGCTAGTTTTCAGTGCTGGTGATTGAACCTGGAACCTTGCACACACTCAGGAAATATTCTACCTTGAAGCCATATCCCCAGCTTTGACCTGAGAATTTTAGAAGAAGTAAAAGGGAAGGAACATCCTTCCTATGAAACTAAACAAATTCATTTCCCACTTTAACAATATTTTATTGGGCAAGTGCCATCAATAAAATGAATTTTAAGGAGAAGCCTAACTAAACTTAAGGCTAATCATATAAATTATCCATCCACAAACTATAGCCCACAAGGCAAATCAGACTAACCAACTTATTTTCTGTAGTTTCTCAGCTAAGAATGTTTTGTTTGTTCTTTTTTTTGACATTTTTAAAAGATTAATGTCAACTTAAGAGATTTTGTTTTTATGACTCTTAAAAGTTTTATGAAACTTGAATTTCCCACCTACAATGTTGTGGAACGTTGTCACAAGCATTTGCTTACATGTTGTCTATAGCTGTGTTCAGGCTGGAATGGCAGAGTTGAGTCATTGCTCCAGATCTCGAATGGGGTCTCTACTGGGATGAAAACATGCTCAGGTATTTCATTTTACAGCTATAGTCCACGAGCTAGGGAAGTCAAGCCAGAACTTAAGGCAGAAGCTGATGTAGAAGATCTGGAAGAGTGCTAGTTTCTGTCTTGCTCCTCATAGTTTACTCAGCCCACGCTTTTACAGCACCCAGGACCACCAGCCCAAGGATGGTACCACCAACAGTGAGTTAGGCCTTCCCACATTAATTGTCAGTCAAAAAAATGCACCACAGGCTTACCCATGGGTCAGTCTGGTGGGAGCATTTTCTCCATTGAAGTTCGCTCTTCCAAAATGACTCCAGCTAGTGTCAAGTTAACACAAACTGGCTGGCATGGTCGACCCCTTGTCACCTTGACATACAACCATATCACCGTTAAACCAAAACCTCTTCCTTTATTAGCCATGTCCAAGATCTTATGTTAATAGTAATATCACAATATAAAACATTCCAATTTTTAAAAGCCCCCCACAGTCTTTAATAACGAAAATACTTTAAAAGTTCAGTCTCTTTAAAACTCTCTAAAATAACAAAGTCTCCTAACTATGGGCTTCTGTAAAATTAAAAATAAATTAAATACTTTATTACTCTGAGAGAACCAGGGCACAGTCACATTTAGACCAAAGCAAAACCAAAGTCCAACTATGTCAAACATTTAGGGCTCATGACCTGTGTTCCAAAGGGCTTGCCACAGCACACACAGCTTATCTCCCAGGCTCAGGCCAGCTCCACGCCACAGCTGCTGTCCTTGGTGGCCATCCCATGGTACTGGCATCTCTAAAATGATAGGATCTATACTGTACCTGGGTTTCACTTTTACCAATAACCTCTCCCAACCCCTCGTTAGGGACTCTGACCCTGAAGAGTCATATGGTGCCAAGCCTCAACTTCTATGACCCCCTTCAGTCTTGGGGCTTCTACATCAGCTGAGGCTACACATTCACCAAAGGCCTTACTGGCTTCTCACAGTGCCATCTCAGCTGCTCTCCATGACCCCTTCATGCCTTTAAAAGCAGCACCTGGAAGACTCTTACTCATCACCCAGTTCATTTACCAGTGCCAAGTACAGACTTGGTCACCTCTGGACCACAGCTTCTGTGTGCTGGTCCCAATGAAACACTTATCAGAAGATTTAATCTCAATGATTCTGGACTCTTCTTAATTGCAGATCATTTCTCAGACCCAGTTCAGCCAGCATCAATTGTTCGAGGAAAGCAAAGGTTTCACTCAGTGGTGCTGGCCTCTTATTAATCACAGCTGATGCTTCAGCCCCAGCTGCGCAGAACCACAAATTCTTAATTCAAAATATTAAATGGCCCCAGTAGTCTGAAACTTCTCGTCAGCACCTCGCACACCAGGCCTCCGTCATCTGGAGGTCTCAGCAAATTGTCTGCTCTCCACACGATTTTCTAAGTTCCCACAGAACAGCCCTGAGCTCTGAGTACTGAATGGCCTTTCCATCCCCAAATTCCAAAACCCTTTCACAATCCTGCCCAAAACATGTCAGAATCTGTCGCAGCAGTACCCCATGAACCTGGTACCAATTTCTGTCTTAATTAGGGTTATTATTGCTGTAATGAAATGCCATGACCAAAAATAACTTGGGAAGGAAAGGATTTATTTCATCGTACAGTTTATAGTTCATTATGCCAGGGAAGTCAGGGCAGGAGCTGACACAGAGGCTATGGAAGAACGCTGCTTACTGGCTTGCTCCTCATGGTTTGTTCAGCCTGCTTTCTTACAGCACACAGGACCACCTGCTCAGGGTTATCCCTACCCACAGTGGGTATATCTAGCATTTTATTCATCTGTGTCTTTACTGAGAGACCTTTGAAACATGTCTCTGTTAGAAGCAGAGCAACAGTGAACATCTGTATTCATATACGCTTGAGTATACATCAAGACCATTCTGAAGATGGTATCTGTGAGTCATAGGAAATATAAACCCTCGTGTCAGCCTACTTATGTGAATCCGGTTCCAGATTTCCTTGGCGCATATATATATATATATATATATATATATATATATATATATATATATCTGTATATATATTGCTAGAATCTTCCTTTGAATATATAGGCAGCATTTTTTTAATTTTTTAAAATTTTCTTTTAATTTTATTTATTTATTTATTTATTTATTTTTAGTTTTCAGATACACTGTTCCTGTCTCAGTTTCTCAGGATTTCTAGGCAAACCTCACTGGATTTCCCTCTCGAGCAAAAGAGTCATTTGGAGCAAGTAGTTCTTCTTCCATAGGGCCCTCTATTTCCAGTGTCTGCTAGTGTCTTATAATTCCTTCCTAATGGGAACCCCTGCCTCCCATCATTTCTGGGTCCACTCTAGGTGGTGTGAAATGGCCAAACTAACTTTCCTAGTGAGCTTCGTCCGTATCAGCCTCCTGTGTTGGTACAGGTCGAGACCCTCAAGTCCTCCAGTACCTGATGGTTCCTGCTCAGCCCTGGTTCTTCCTCCTCTCCCTGTGAACACTCATGCTTTTTCCCTGACTGGTGCCTGTGTCATCTCTCTCCTTCCTGCTTTTGCTGCATAGCCCTTAAACCTGGGCTCACTGACAATCTGTGATGATATCATCAGGATTTTATTCTTTCAAGCCTCTTGTCCACATTCCTTTTTTTTTTTAGACCGTGTTCTTTTTAAAGCTGAAGTACAATGACATCTTAACTATAGAGGCTGCTTTCACTAAACCCAGGCTACTTCTGTGATCATGCCCAACCTCCCTCCCATTCTCGTTTTATTTGCACTTTGCATTATACTCTAAACCAGTCCGATTCAGGGTCTAGCTAGAGGACCACTATCTTCACATAGCCTGCATTGTCTTCCTTCATGAATGTTTTAGCTTGGCTGCCAAAGGTTAACATCTCTGGGAAGCACTAAACAAGGTTCGTAAGAGACCCTTGGGAGACTTTGGCATGCGTTGACCTTTCACCTGACTTTTAGAAACAGCAAAGGACTGAACCATAGAGTTTAAGCCCGGTTATTATCATCACCAGCAAGAAAACTAATTTAAACCTATGTTGTAAATAGGACAGCTATCTGTTATGCCCATAGGGAACTTGCAGAATTTATGCTTTCATCTCTTTATTTCCTAATTTTATTATTTTGTTTGTTTGTTTGTTTTATTTCATTTTGTGGTACTGAAGTTGAACCCAGGGCCTCATGCTGGGGAAGTGCTCCCCCTCCCCCACCCCCCGAGCCTTATCCACAGCTTCTTCTCTTGGTCTTGCCTCCCTGTTTTATAACTACTCTTGTTTATTTGGCCCATAGCCTATAAATACCACTTCTGACTTGTCATTATCACTTCTGTTCCTAGTGAGATATCAGGCTTACTGTACATACTTAGAAATGTTATTTTCCTGTGGAAATACAGAAGAGTGGGTGTGTAGGTACCCCAGGATTCTCTGATGCCATCATGACAGCTGCTTCAGTGAAATCCTCGCTTATTTGCCTGTTCACCTGTCTTCCTTAGGGTGTTAAAGTCTGTCTGAGAATGTGCCTTCCCTAAATCCTGCTTTCTTCTGGTTTATTAGAAGTGCAGGCACAAAACACCTCAGATGTCCATCCTGACTTTAATTTGGTTCTTCAACAGAATTTTTCTATCTCAGTCCCTTGTTACATATTTGCTAGAGTCCTATGACCTTTGCATTATAAACAGTGTAAAATTAGGATCACATTGTAGCCAGACTTTGCTACTCTGTGGGTTCTTCTTTTTCCCATCCTTTACTCCCTGGTTTTACTCCTATCACCAAATAGGAGAGAAAGGAGGATAGAGCTGGGAGAGAGAGAGAGAGAGAGAGAGAGAGAGAGAGAGAGAGAGAGAGAGCGCAACCAACACCTCTGAACAACCAACAACCCAGGCTATCAGGCCTTAGCAATTATCTACCTCTGAAAAGCTCCTAGAATTCCAACCGACACACAGTCATCAACACTATCTGCAGCTGTCAAAAACCATGCCTTTGCTAGAGCACGAGACAAATCACTGTCAGCTGCCTTGAAGCAGCCCCATATCCCCACACCTGAGATTAAAACGAAGACATATTCTTACAATAGTTCTGTGATTTTTTTTTTTAAAGAAACCAAAATTCCAGAATTCTCACGACAGCCGGCTCAGTGTTTAAGAACACTTGCTGCTCTTGCAGTGAGCCTGGGTTCTGTAACTCCAGGCCCAGAGGATCAGATACCTTCTTCTGGTCTCCTTGGGCATCAGGTACACACACATACATGTAGGCAAAACACTCGTGCACATGAAACAGAAATGTATAAATCTTGAAAATAAATAAAATATCATTTGTTTAATAAAATATATTTGGCTAATAAGGAGACAGCCGATGGGCTACTGATAAGCCCTTATAGTTGAAGGAAGAAACTGCAAAACAGCTTTTTTTTTTTTTTACAGAGGCCATATTGCTTACTTATGTATACATGTGTGTGCGTGCTCATTTCCTATAGATATGCCATTGTAATATACTGGCCTCACGTGTTTTCTTAATTTTTATATCTTTTAGTGTAATTTTATTATTTAAACTTTCATGTTTCTGAAGAACTAGGCTAGATATTTTATTTTCTCTTCTGTTATTCTGTGATTCTCTTTCTAACCTTGAGGTGGCATTATTATCTTAATTAAAAAGACATTTGTAATGGTCTATACATAATAAGTTTTATACATTGAAATCCCTTTGTTTTTAAAAATATCACAGAAGAACTTAGGTACATTATCAATGAGAGGTTAAACCTAACTATTAGTCATTTTTCTAACATGTACATTTTAATAATTTTATCACCAAAATTATTACTCTATTAATTTGCAATCTATGTCAGGAAACACTATGAGTATATAACTGTAAAAAAAAAATTTAAAGGGCACTCTGTGCAGTTATCTGAGGAAATAAATATATAAAATAAATCTCTAAACAGACAAATACATAAATATAATAAATAAATAAAAACAAAGGAAAACTACAGCCGTGCAGCGTGTGTCTTATGGTGACTCATGAAGAACAGCCTGCCTGTGAACCAGCCAGAGCTCCAGCCCTGTGTACTTGAAAAAAGGAGACAGAACTGTTAGAATCGCATCTGCCAGACTCGTAAGATGCAGGCGCTTGAAGGAGGTGACTGCTGAGATGAACCCAGGAGAGGATTTTATCAACAGTGTCCAGATGCAGCTTCCAGAGGACTGTAAAGAACTGTCCAGAAAGATGGGGATGCCTTTCATCCCATTACTGGGCCAGGCAGATGGAGAATCCGAGTCACAGGTGGCTTTCATTTAGAACAACATTGGTTTGACTTTTCCACCGGTAATCAGCAGAGCCGTGGTGTTTATGACAGTGATGAATGAGAGTCTTGTGTTTTAGGAAATGGTTTTGAATTCTCGGTTTTCAAAGCATAGTGGAGAGGAAGCAGCGTTGATAAAAAAAAAAAAAAGAAAACAAAAAACAAAACAAAACAAACCTTTCTCCCTGTCTCATACAGCGAGGGGACTACGTAAGGGAGCTGAGCATTTGCCTGACACTGTTGAATTGCTCACTGCTCCCCGGGATGCGTGCCCATAAAGAAGATGTTTCCACGGAGACAGCAGGAGTGCCTTGGCCTTGACTTGGTGCCGTTGAACTTGTGCGTTTCTGCTGTGGGTGCACTCTCCCTTCACATTCTATTTTATCTTTCTAGGTTGCTGTGCTTGCTCCTTGGGGAATGGTGAATTACGCTGTCCATCAATAGAGCCAATAACGAACTCAAGTGCTAGTGGGCCAATGCCTTCTTCCTTTGAGAAAAGTAAGTGCCCCGGGACTATGAGGATGCACTTAAGGGTGGAAAGAAAGGACCGTCTTTACGTGTGAAAAGAATACTACCCAGGCTTTCTACTGTAGTGCATGGCTTGAGAATATGTTTCCAGTAAGATGGGGAAAGTTATGATAAAATCATAATCAAGAGACAATACTTATTTAAAAAATAAAATTCTTAGACATAGTATTATAATAGACAGATACATACACACTTCCACATAATTTAACTCACATGCCTGAGGATATAGCTTCATGTTAAGTACTTGCCCAACAAGCATGAAACCCTAGGTTCAAACCCTAGGACCTTCAAGACAAAAACAAAGATTAATTGAAGTGACAAATCCTGGAAGTTTTACCGAAACTTGTTGAACTGCCCCTTAGTTTTATTCTCTAAGACCAGGACTAATTAATTAGCTCAGGTCTTTCATAAAGTTCAAGAGGTAATAATAGTACATTTGTTTCATGTCAAAAATGGGACGTAATAGGGTATTTAGGGCTCATGTGGATTTATCACAGATAAAACTTTATTAATTTAATCTTTAAAATTATATGTAAACTCCCTCACCCAAGTTCCCTCTCTCCATCCACTTCTGATGTCTATTTTATTTCCCTTTCTGAGTTAGATTCCAGCATCCTTCCTTCAGCCTCCATGTTACTTACCTTCTTTGAGTCTGTGGGTCCTAGCATGATTATCCTGTACTTTATAGCTAATATCCATTTATAAGTGAGGACATACCATGCATGTCCTTTTGTGTCTGAGCTACCACACTCGGGGTATTTTCTAGTTCCATCCATTTGCCTGCAAATTTCACGATGTCTTTGTTTTTAATAGCCAAGTAGTATATTCCATTGTGTAAATCTACCACATTTTCTTTATCCATTCTTTAGTTGAGGGATATCTAGGTTGTTTCCAGTTTCTGACAATTACAGATAAAACTGCTATGAACATAGTTGAGCAAGTGTCCTTGTGGTATGGTGTAGCATTTTTGGGGTATATGCCCAGGAGTAGTATAGCTGGTTCTTGAGGTAGAATTATTCCCAATTTTCTGAGAAAGCACCAGATTGATTTCCGAAGTACAAGTTTGCACTCCTACCACAAATGAAGGAGAATGTTCCTCTTTCTCCACATCCTTGTCAGCATGTGCTGTCACTTGAGGTTTTGATCTTAGCAATTCTGACAGGGGAGTTTAAGATGGAGTCTCAGAGTCATTTTGATTTGCATTTCCCTGATGACTAAGGATGTTGAATATTTCTTTAACTGTTTCTCAGCCTTTAGAGATTCCTCTGTTGAGAATTCTCTGTTTAGCTCTGTACCTTATTTTTTAATTGGGTTATTTGGTTTGTTAGTGTCTAATTTCTTGAGTTCTTTATATATTTTGGATATTAGCCATCTGTTGGATGTAGAGTTGGTAAAGATCTTTTCCCAGTACATAGGCTGCCATTTTGTCCTATTGCTGGTATCTTTTGCCTTACAGAAGCTTTTCAGTTTCATGAGGTCCCATTTATTAATTGTTGATCTTAGTGCCTGAACTGTTGGTATTCTCTTCAGGAAGATGTGTCCTATACCAATGCGTTCAAGACTGTTCCTCACTTTCTCTTCTATTAGATTTAGTGTATCCAGTTTTATGGGGCTCAGATGTGAAGAAAGTGTCCGGGCTGTGAGGACTGGGAGAAAGAACAAAAATTGGTGTGGTTTGGGTGGGGGGTATCTCTGGGACAAGCCAGAGAGACCTGGGATGAGAGAGGTGCCTTGGAGGCCGTGGGAGTAACCCTAGCGGAGACTCCTTGCAGCAAGGAATATGGAGCCTGAACTGGCCAACTCCTGTAGCCAGGTGGGGCTTGCAGTGGAGGGAGGGGACCACCAACCTACCCACAAAGATTTTGACCCAGAATTTGTCCTGCCTGCAAGATGTGCAGGGATAAAAATGGAGCAGAGATCGAGAGAACAGCCAACCAATGACTGCTGTAACTTGAGACCCATCTCTTGTGAGAGAGCCAACCCCTGTCACTATTAATGATACTCTGCTATGCTTGCAGACAGGGACCTAGTGTAACTGTCTTCTGAGAGGAAGCTAGCAGCTGATGGAAACAGATGCAGAGACCCACAGCCCAACGATAGGCAGAGCTTGAGGAATCTAGTGAAAGAGTTTGGGGAAGGATTGAGGGAGCTGGAGGGGTCAGGAACACCACAAGAAAACCTACAGAGTCAGCTAACGTGATCCCATGGGGCTCACAGAGACTGAACCACCAACCAAAGAGCATGCATGGGCGGGCCCTAGATCCCCTGCACATATGTAGCAGATGTGCAGCTTGGTCTTCATGTGGGTCCCTTAACAATTGGAGCAGGGTCTGCCTCTGACTCTGTTGCCTGACTGTATATTCCCCTCCCCAGCTAGGCTGCCTTGTCTGGCCTCAGTGGGAGAGGATGTGCTTAGTCCTGCTGTGACTTGATGAGCCAGGGTGGGTTGGCACCCATGGGACCAACCTTCTCTGAGTGGAAGGAAAAGGGGGAGGGGGCATGAGGGTAGGACTGGGAGGATAGGTGGGAGGGGCACTGTAATCAGGGTATTAAGTGAATAAATAATATAAAGCAAAATAAATAAATAGATTATTTATATAAATTATATATAAACTATATAGAGTGTTCTAAATTATGTATCATAATGATATAACATAAGTTTTGTAGACAAAGACCTTTGTTAAGTATATAGAAGGAACTCCGGCATTCTGCTTGTTCATAGTAGACTCTTCAACAAAACATGATAGCATTCCCCAGGCTCACTGACAGTTAAACCTGATTCTTAGCTGAGTAGGCTTCTGTGCTGTTTCTCTTGGGTTTGATCCTTACAGCTGTGCTCACTGTTTTGTAGCCGACCACTGTGTGAGCCGCTGTGACTCCCAGAGCTGCATCCTCGCCCAGGAAGAGGAGCAGTACCTGCAGAGTGGAGACCCACAGCTGACCCGGCACGTCCTGCTGTGCTTGCTGCTCATCATCGGCCTGTTTGCCGTAAGTGCTCCTTCTGCTTCTATTTGGGGCCGTCTCTTTAAGATTTGGCTTCTCTCGGAGAAACGTCATTGCTATTTTGCAGGAGTATGTTGCTAGGTCATCTGATTTTTAGCATTTAACTTAATGTTTGAGGCACAGGATGGGGACAGGGGATCCTCCGTTGCCCAAGCGCTCCAGCAGTCTGTTCCCCTCACATCACTTACTCGGTCTGTGCTACTGAACTTAGAATTTGTGAAAACAAAATATTTCCGTGATAGATGCAGGACTTATACACCTGACAGTAGACAAAAATAGCTGAATCATCTCCCGAAATATATTTTTCAAATAAACTTTTAAAAGTAAAATTTTTGTGGGGCTAGAGAGGTGGCTCAGCAGTTAAGAACACTTGCTGCCCTTGGCAGAGCACAGACATTTGATTGTCAGCATCTACAACCCAGTTCTAGGGGATCTGATGCCCTCTGCTGGCCCCTGTGTGCAACAGGCAAACACATGGTAAACATACATGCACACGGGAAAACACTTGTACACATAGATTGAACCCAGGGCATCATGCATGTTAAGCAGAAGCTGAACTACTCACCTCTAACCTCAATCCTGCCTACTAATTTTTTTAGCACACTCTACATGCTATAATGGTACATTCAGGCTTCTGTGTTGCTTTCTTTTACCGACATTAAACAAAGTCACTTGACTGAAGTCTCTGGAGCCATTGTTTGAGCATATTTCCCAATAACCACAGAGAAGCAACATAATTTATTCAAGTGCTTCTTTATTTTTAATTGTTCATAATTTTTTCAAAGTGCTCTAATAAATACCTCCAGACATTGTATTTTCGATCGGTAGGGTCTCAAAATTGAGAGACCTTGGTCAGCGTCTGTATTTCTATAACACAGGTGTATTCTGTTTCTTTCCCAAAGGGTTAATACATATATTTATAGAGTCCCCGTGCCAGCATCAAATACTGAAAGATTTTTAATTTTATAACAACTTATAAGTACAGTAGTTTATTTTATTATGTACATTTCTTTAATCATAGAAGGGTTTTTATTTGCTATCCTCATTTGTGAATTATCAGTTGTCATACATAATTCCTTAAGATGGTTCAAGTGTGACTTCTCTAGAGACGGGAGATGGGCCAGAAGCCTCTGTAACCTTTACAGCCTTTACACTCGGAAGCTCCCTACACAGCAGGATACTAGCCAGCACCCCTTAACAGCCCTCTAAGAACAAAAGTCACAGAACAAGAAATGCTGCCAAGAGCTGCTGCTTAGTGATGTCATTGTTTTCACTGTGTCAGACTAATTCTAAAATCCGTCCTGTGTAGGCTAGTCGGCAGTCCTGATGTATTATGTAAGCTTCTGTATTATAGCGCACGTCTTCTCGCTTCAAATCTGATCAGAATAGATGCTGTTTGAATGGCATCTGTCAAGAGGAGAGGTTGAAACCTCTTGTTTGAAAGACAAAGCTTCTACATTCTCTTGATGTTTTTCCCCTTTAGTCTTTCCCCCCTAATTATTAGCTAGCTAAGTTATACTGTGCTCTGGATGGAGGGAGACGGTTCCCATGCTTAATTCTCAAGTGCTTTTTCTGTTCCTCTTCACAGAATCTCTCTAGCTGTCTGTGGTGGCTGTTCAACCACGAGACGGGACGACTCTATGTTGAATTACAGTTTTTCTGTGCTGTGTTTAACTTTGGCCAGGTATTTATTTACAGAGAACTGAGTGGGCTCTGGTTTCTTGGGTGAGTTGATTGGGGGGGGGTGGGATGGGGGTGCAGACGTTGTTTTCTTTTAAATCAAAAGGGTTTAGTTTGTCTGTCAGCTGCTGACGCACATGACAGCTGACAGCTGCTGCCTGTCTCCCATAGAGATGAATTATTATATTGGTTAAAGTCATCAGAATGTTCACTGAGTGTTTCAACCAGAAATTCCAAATACTTTATTTTGCTTTGGTGTTGAGATGAAGAATGATAATTTAAGTAGGAGCAAGATGTCCTCAAATTCTTCCTAAACTTCTTACGATCTTAATAACTCACTTTGGGAAATAAGTTGCTTCTTGAGCCTTTAGTCTGGCCACTGACAATACTGAACATTGAATGTTTTTTGAATGACAGGAACTTAAATCAGTATTTTAAAAATCATCTGCTAAAACAAGTTTTAGCAGAGAGGGGAGTAGCTTTTCCTTGTCAGACCATCAGGTACCAACTATTTGTTAAGAATTTTACATTCATTATCTCATGTCAACACCAAAATACCTACAAAATAGATATGACCATTTCTCCTGGCATGTTTCTAATTAAAATTGACATTTAATGCCTAGCATTCAGAAGGCTCTAGGTTAATCCCGAGCACTGGGACAAAAAAAGGAGCTATTTAAAGAAAAATAACATTTTAATACTGGGAAATATTTTATGTGCAAAGTTTAAGTTTTATCTTTTCATCAGCCCACTTTTTTTTTTTTTTTAAGGTTCTGGGGATTGAATTTTCACCTGGAGCTTTGTACATACTAGGCGAGGGCTCTACACTGAACCATATCCCTAACTCAAGCCTATACTGTTTGATTAGAGAACATTCATTCATAAACTGAATAGTTACTTGAAAAATACTGTGTTGGAAATCACTGCCTATTAAATTTGAAATATTTGGCCACATTTGCCGTAGTTAAACCTTGTCAGTTTATGCTCCCTCATGCTTTTGTCTTCCACTGACCACTCAACGTATTTCCTGTTTATTTTGACATGGTTATTGGAAGAAAATTAACAAAGTATAAAGAAACATTATGTAATCAGTTTACTACAAACATGGCACCCCAGAGCCACTTGATATCAGTCTCACTGTGTGATACTATTTAAGATCTGACATTACCAACTATAGAATGCTAGACTGAAGATTCACAGTACTCTCCCCACCCCCCACCCCTTAGCATTTTGCATTCAGAAAGCCCACTCCAGGCTGAGCCAAGCTAGGATTGGAGCTAAGCGAGCTTCAGTCCATAGGGCTCTGTCAAGAACAGAACAGAAGGGCAAGAATGTTGCCCTTCAAACGCTGCCTACACAGCTTATGCCTTTTGAAAGGCATGAGAAGACACAGCTCTCTTTCCAGTCTATTCTCCTTGTAAGGACTTGGTGTAGTGAGGTATTCCCTTCTGACAGTTTGTAGTTTAAGGGTAAAGACAATCAAGTCCTTCTTGTGTTTGGGGAAGGTAGGGTATGTATGCATACATACATAGGGTATGAGTACAGTTGCCTGTGGAGGCCAGAAGGAGGTGCCAAATCTCCTGGAACTGGAGCTACATGCAGTTTTGAGCCACTCAGCATGGGGGCAGGGAACTGAAGAGTGACCTGCACTCTTAACCGCTGGCCCTGCCTGCTGGCCTCATGGAGCAGTGCCCGAAGGACCATGCTTACAAGGCATAAGTCCTTGGTGAACCTTTCATATCTACAACATAACACTAAGTGTATTACAATTAGATATTTCAATCCTTGTTAATTATATTTATGAAGTATCAAGAGAAAAATAATAAGTACATAGGCACAGTGAGAGGGATTTTCTTTTCAGAAAGGGGGAAACAGAAGCATGTAGGCTTTAACAGGCTCCATTTTTCTTCAATGAGCTGTCATGCAGATGTGGTTCCAGCACTGGCTTTCCTCACCATCCTAATTAGTAGGAAGAGACAGCAAGCAGGGTGTCATGTGTGCCCACAGACATTGAGCCTGCGTCTGCTCTGGATGCTGAATTTCAGATGTTGCTCTGATCACTATTGGCTGCTTCCTCACTTGCCAAGCATCTTAATTTCTGTCTTAAGGTTTTACTGTTGAATTCAGACCAAATAACTACTGTTTTCTCCCCCTAGGGATTCATTTCCTTTGGAATCTTTGGGTTGGACAAACATTTAATCATCCTACCTTTCAAAAGAAGGTAAATTCAGTTTCGAAATAAGCCTGCGTACCTAAAGGTGATGACAAGGTCATTCTATTAAAATATTGATACCTCTGTACTTCTCTATCTGGTAGGAGACCACTAATACCACACAAAGGTTATCTGTGAAATCATGTATTTGTTGCAAATAATTGCAGAGAACGTATTGGAAGAAGTATTATAAATCCAGCAATGTAATTTGCATTTTAACAAGAGTTGACAGGCACAGACTTCTACCCATGCTATTAACTGCATACAGTGAAATGAAACTTGCAAATGGAAGTAGTCGTGGTGTCTTCCCCCACTGAAGTCTACACCTGATCAATCGTTTCTCTCCCTTTGACAAAGGCTTTCTCTTCCTATCAGACTGAGAGTTTGCAGAAAATTTCAGGATTCTCTCAACTTCGGAGGTTCTGTTGGCTTCCTGTAATGTTTTTTTTAATTAAAATCAATGTTTCTTTATGAAAAATAACAAAGTAAAAGTTTCAACATAGGGAAGAGAGGCAGGGAGAGTGGTTTCTGTTTGCTCTCGAGGCAAAATGCACAGACACTGGAAGTGCTGGTGGGCTCCTTCCCTTTTTTCTCCATGGTCACCACCATTATTCTCATTAAGCTGCCTTTGCTAAGGGTCATGATCATTCCCAAAAGGAAAGTGTAATGGGAAAGCCCTTCAGCTCAGTCTCCAGTTTCACAACGAGGGCCAAGTTGACTGTCAACAGTTGTATTGGCTGGATGGACAGAACGGTCAGGTCCTGACATTTGTTTCTGTGGGACTAATATTGGAAATAGTGAAATAAAATCCCTAAGTTAGCTTGGTTGGTTTAGTTTCAGTTTTACTTTCTGAGGCAGTCTGAGACATCCTGCCTAGTTTCTAAGTTATGTCTGTGCTTAGAACCTGCCAGGGCCCTGCGGGTTCAGAGATCAATGAATTCCCAGTGTTGGTGACAGAGCTCTGGAGACAGGGTTTGGATCAGCCATCTGCTGAGGCAGACAGGATCTTTGCACACTCGTTTTCACCCCTTAAAAAAATGGCCTGCTTAAATTTTGGATTTCAGGCTTGAATTCCTGTGGAACAATAAAGAAGCAGCAGAAGACAGAGAATCCCCGGTTTCTGAGGAAATAAAAATGACCTGTCAACAGTTCGTACATTATCACCGTGAGCTATGTATCCGAAACATCGTCAGAGAAAGAAGGTAAAGTCAGTACAGGGTTCAGAGATGTAGATTCCAGATTATGAACATTAGGTTTTAATGAGCCAATAGTTGATTCTTGCACTTACTGTTGGGCAGTTTCTGATCTCTCTATAAAATGTGATCTGCAGAAATATGGTAGGAGATTTACATTCTCTACATGTTGGCCTTAACATGTCCCACAGAGCACTGGCAAACACCAGCTCTAGAAGAGATTTCATATTCTCATCCCCTAGTGCTATGCTGTTCCTTGTTACTAATGACGCTGTCAAGAGAATGAAATGAAATTTCTGCCTCTTAATTAATTCTATGATTTTTATTTCACCTCAAGTCCTAGTCATTATTTTTTGACATTATATTTATTCTTCTAATCCCCAAGGTACAGAATATGCTGCAGCAGGAAATGATGAACTATGAATAATCAAATATTACTGTGTTGATAGCTTTAGTTGTTAGGAGAGAGGAAATAAAACTAAGAAAATATGAAGAACCTAACACTTTTATGTGTATTTATAAAAATTTGGAGATTAGTATTCAAGTCGGTTCATTTTTAAGCATCGTACCACTGTGCTCAACATGCCATTACCGTCCCAAGAACATAGCCTGGCGGAGAAAGGGGGAGGGGCTAACTGAGTGTCAATATCCTGAGCTGGTGCTTCTTGACTATGTGAACCTTGGCAAGTTCAATTTCAAAATCTCAGATTTCGTTTTCCTTGAAAAATTCTACCTCGGGGGGGTGGAGAGATGGCTCCGCTACTGAAAGCACTTGTTCTTACAGAGACCCAGCTTCTGAGTTCCCAGCACTCACAGGGAGGCTCACAACGGTCTGTAACTCCAGTTTCAGGGGATCTGACTCCCTCTTCCAGCCCCCTGGGCACCAGGCATACACATGGTGCACATACATACATACATACATACACACACACATACATGCACATACATATATACACACATACATACACACATACATGCATACATGGCAGGCACAATACTCATGCACATAAAATAATAAGTAAACCTTAAAGAAGACTCTTACTCTGGATCCTTCAGTGTCTGAGGAGCCTTGCCCAATGGCTGACAATGAGTGATAAACTCTGGAGAAAAGCCACTTTTCTACCTTGGAAGGCTGAGCACAATTTTAGGATACAGTCTGTGGATAGATCTTTAAATTTTTTTAGAAAAAAAAAATTCACATTATCTGTCAGGGTATTGTGCTTGCCAACTGTCAGGAAGCAGAACTCTCAGCATTTGCTGAGCTACCAGGTCCCAGATGGCTGGATGGGCCCCAGCTGGTATAAAGCAGCTCGCCCCTGCTCCTGCCCAGGATCTGCAGCCTGCACTGTCACACTCACTGACACTCTGTACTATTCTATAGGCTCTTGTGAGAGCTGCCGGCTCACGGCAATCAAGGGCCAGATATCTTCAGTCAGTGCCTGGGCAAGAGATACTGCCTCCATGTTGAAAACGCCCAGACACGGCACAGACTCTGTCATGGATATTTCATGTATTTGAAAAGATTTCTACATCATTAACTTCTCTCTGATTCGTATATGTGGAACCTTGTATTTGTGGTAAAAAAAAAAATGCTTTAGATTTTTCCACACCTATTTGTCACCTCATCTTGTTCCTCACCCTCTGTTTCCTGTTGTCAGGCACTTCAGATTTCACGGCTTGATTGACGCCTGTGGAGATTCTTGTTGTCTAGTGCACATTTGTATGAAAATGTTCATGATTCATGTCATTGGCTTTTTGTTTTGCATATCTTTCTCTTCTGTATCTGCTCATACTTATGGCAATCCAGATTTGCATTAGGTAGACAAATATTAAACAATCGGGAAGCTTTAAACAAAAATCAAGGCACACTGCTTAAAGCAGATTGGTTTCTGTTATTAGTGTTCGTGCGTGTGGAGGTCGGAAGAGTGGGTCAGATTCCCCTGGAGCCGGAGTCACAGGCAGTTCTGAGCTGCATGGTAAAGATGCTGAGGACTGAACTGGGGTCCTCTGGAAGAACAATGAGCACCCCTAACCGCTGAGCCATCTCTCTAGTCCCAAGTCGTACTTTTAGAATCTTGGGTTTGCTGTAGGACCGACCTCACTTGTTTGCTCCCTGATTCCTAATGAAGCAAGTGACTGTACTGGCTGCTGAGGGAAAGAGACTATTTGTGGGTACTGTAAGCTGAAAACAAAGCTTAATTTTGTTTTAATGTAATAAACTAGGTTAATAAAAGTAGTTCTTTTTTTTTCCTTTGAGATAGAGTCTCATTATGTAACCTATGCTCAAACCTGATTCTGCTGCCTCAGCCTCTCAAGCGCTGGGATTATAGCCCCCCCCCCATCCCTCTAATAGTCATTTATATAACAGCTCTCTGTAACACAGATACAAGGCCTTATGGGGAGCTGCGGAGATTGCTCAGTAAAGTGAGAAAGCACAAGAACTTGACTTGGGTCTATAAAATCCATGTGAACCTGGACTAGTGGCCCAGGCCTGTCACCCCAGGCCTGGTGGAGAGAAAGCCTAGCCAGAAAGACAGCAACACTGACATCAGGTCTCCACACATGTGTGCACACATTATGTGCATATGGATACACACACACACACACACACACGAGAGAGAGAGAGAGAGAGAGAGAGAGAGAGAGAGAGAGAGAGGCGCCATGCTACTATTAAAAGATACTTCTGGGGTGTGTGTAAAGAAATGGCTCAGCAGTAAGAACACTGGCTCAGTAGTTAAGAGCACTGGCTGCTCTTCCAGAGGATCTGGGTTTGATTTCCAACATACACGCATGTGCTCCCCTCCTGGAAGAATATTTCTCAGGCAGTATGCTTACCTATGTCACTTTTAAAAGTGTTCGTTTTCCCAAGCACTACTAGCATATTTTATTTTCTCCAGAGGGTCTTTCTAGGATCAGACAAGCCAACAGATCCTTCATGTTTAGAACAGCTCCGTCTCTGTCACCCTCTTAACTATCACACTGTCATTCCTCATTTCCTTTTTATTTTTCTTTGCTCATTTTTCATCATGCAGTGCTGATACCAGAATTACAGAGCATATGGCTGAATCCTTCCTTTGACATACAGGTGTGGTGCAAAGACTTCTGCCGGGACCTTCTGTGGCTGTGACCTGGTGAACTGGCTAATCGAAGTCGGCCTTGCTTCTGACCGTGGTGAAGCTGTGATCTACGGAGACAGACTGGTGCAAGGAGGAGTCATCCAGCACATCACCAATGAGTATGAGTTTCGGGACGAGTATCTGTTTTACAGATTTCTTCAAAAGAGTCCTGAACACAGTCCTCCTGCCGGTACTGTAAGCGACTCTCAACAGGAAAGCTATAAAGAAATTGGTCACTCATCTCTGCCCTCACTCTCCCCTAAGACTTAACTTACAGAGAGAACCCACAGGAATCGTACCCTCTAGCCTCGTATCTGATCCTTTTAGCTGGGGGACCTTGGGCAGTTCATCTCCTTTGTAAAATGCAAAGGCATTCGTACCCTGTTCTGACACGCTATAACTTTATGTGTATAGAAAGTACATAAGAAACTGACAAGAGGAACCATGAAGTTAAAAGTTATGATAATGAATATAATAGTTGCTATAGATACCTCTATTGTCCCAATAGTTTAAAATCGTTTCTTTCTGAAACTTTGTTATAATTACAAAGTCAGCATCCAACTGGCTGTAATTTTAAATTGCCAAATTTGGCAAGTTTGCTGCCCTCAAAACAAACCTTAAGACTACTTTACGTTTATCAATAATGCTTCCCTCAACAGATTTCTATCCATTCTAGTAAAAGGTTTTATTTTCCCTCCCACTTCTTTGACAAATTCTGCCCATTCAAAATTACAACCACTGTTTTGTTTTTGAGACAAGGACTCATGTAGCCCAGGCTGGCTTCAAATTCCCTATGTAGCCAAGAATGGCTTTTAACTCCTGATCTTCCTGCCTCTGCCTCCTGAGTTCTGGGCTTATTGGTATGTGCCAACATGCCTGGCTAACCCCAGTATTTTTTTAAAGTAATTTTAAAATTTATTTTTGATAAAACACCAATTTAAAGGTTTGTCTTTTTGTGTCTTCTATCTAAACTACTAACGTGTACCAATAAGAAGAGAATAAGGACATTAATATTATTATCTCTGTAATATTTCAAGGTAAAAAATTTAAGTAATTTGAACATATTCATTTAAATGTCATATAAGAAATAATGCCATGAGCTGTAGTACCATTTCTGGTAGTTTCAAAGTATACTGTAGAAGAAAAATATACTTTATTCCCTGCACTGAGAAAGTATATAGTCAGGAACTTAAAATTCTAAACCTAGCATCCTACCTTTAGAATTTAGTCTTTTTTGTGTCCATGTCTAAAAAGTTTATAAGTTTAAAAATTAGCAAATGCTGCTTAGTCCATCAAGAGTTTAAAACAGAATGACTTGAACACAGATAGCTCCTAAACAACAGGAAGGCTTTCTTCCAGGTCCAGGGCTGGTCGTGTAAGAGGAGGCAGCCAAGCAATAAGCCCCTGTTGAGGCCCCATCTCAGGTCCACCAATGGAGCCGCCTGTGGTGGGACAGAAGGCTCTGGAAGAGCACACCGCATTTTGACACTTCTTCTCTCCTGAGCTACACTTCTCCAGGTCCCCTCACTGGGGTTGGGTTTTGAGGAGACGCGTCCAGCCTGTAACAGTCTCGGGTAAAGCTTCCCTCTCAGTTAATTTGCACATCTTTTGAACAACTACTTCATTATTAGGTATCGGTGATGGTTTAACTTATTTTAAATGTTACTTATCTTACTTTACTGTTTCATATATAAAAGCCATTTAGGAAATTATTTATGAGGTTAGTGCCCTGGCCCTTTTAATGTAGCAAATACATATTAAAAGGAAACCTTGCATGGAAGCCTAGTGTATATAAAAAGAAATGATGTTTATTTTATGTTATGATCATGGAATTGGGATGTTTTAGGCAGAACTATATCGCCATAAAACTTAGGGGAAAAAGGAGACACGGCTCCACTGTACTCCTAATGCCCAGGAGTATGCGTAAGCACCCTCCTTAGCAGCCTTGAGTGACAAGACAGAATTCACATGCACGTGGACAACTCAAACTCAAGTGAGGGAATTTGTTTTGTTTATGAATAACCATATTAAGTATGCTCTTTCATTTGCACAAATGGAATCTGAAACATCATTGTCCTTGGGAGATCCTAAAAGAAAACCAGAGATCAATCAGAGTGACTTGCAGTTTTAGATGATAAAGGCTTTTAAGCCATGTTTTTAGGATTAAGGATAAGCTAATTTTATTAAATGGAAATATTTGTATGTTACTTTCTCACTGACAGCACGTTTCTCAATAAAATACTATTTTAACTTTCATCGTCTACATCTTTGCCTTGAATGATCCAAATAATGCTGACGGTACCACACAAGTCTTGTCTGTGAATTCTCTGTCTGTGAATTCTCATTTCTTATCTCATATGTTCCATCCTGACTGCATTTCCATTCCCTCTCCCTCCCCCAGCCACCCCTCCCCTCTTCCCAAGATCTACACCCTCTCTGGTTCTCCTCAGAAAAGAGCAGGCCTCCCAGGGACATCAACCAAATGGGGCATAACAAGCTACGATGAGACCAGACACACACCATCACATCGAGGCTGGACAAGCAATCCAGTAGAAGGAAAGGAGTCCCACTGAAGTGGAAAGCTCTGTTTCTTAGGAAACTCAGTTGTGTCGCATGATGTTTGTCTGGAAGCTGTCTTGTGAGAGGATGTTTTGCAGAAACAGACATGTTAAGAGGGCACGTGATGTTTGGAAAAGAGTATATGTAGAATCCCACAGTGAAAGGATACACTTGCATCTTGTTGCCAGTCTTCGATGACTGTGCAAAATTTCGCCTGTTTTCTCTGGTCTTTGCTGGTCTTCACTTCATAGAGAGAAACGCACCAAAGAACTTCTCATGGTATTCCGACTGATTCTTGCCACTTCCACTGACTCTTGCCAATTTGGTGGGGCCTTGAGGTTTCTGCTGGAGAGAGGTGCTGCTACCGATTACTGTTTGGTGTTTGCTACTGGACTGGACTGCTGATATCCTGACAACAAAGATTGGAGTCACTCCAAAGGACTACATCTAAACAGTCCACAACTCTCTTTTCCTCCTAACCTTCTCCACTATCTCTGGTTGGTGGCCTAGAAGAGTTGAAGCGTTTAAGAACCCTAGTTAAAGTAGGCTTTGAAAAATCTAAGGCTAATCCCACAAATTGCTGGATTGCTGAGAATTCCGCTAGGTTTCAGTCCCAGAACACTCTGCAGTCAGGACAAAGCTTTCTTAAGTGAGTTTCCTGGGGCGATCTCATGACCTGGTTCTGCAGAGTTTGGAACAACCAGGCCGTGGTCAGTAAACAACTTTCATAAGTACTTTTAAAAATTGGGCATCCATGGTCAGGTGATGGGTGGTGCTGGGAGCACAGTCCATGTTTGTAAGATGTTATCGTTCTTCAGGGAAAGAAGGGCTTAAAATTTCCATGATCATTTGGATAAAAACCTGTTGTTTCTGGGTTTCTCCGTGTAGTCCTGGCTGTCCTAGAACTCACACTGTAGACCAGGCTGGCCTCAAACTCAGAAACCTCCCTGCTTTTGCCTCCTGACTGCTGGGATTAAAGGTGTGGCCCAGCATTGTAAAAGTATTTTATAAAATACTGTTTAGAAGTAGCCAGCCAGTGGTGGCACACGCCTTTAATCTCAGCACTTGGGAGGCAGAGGGAGGTGGATCTCTGAGTCTGAGGCCAACCTGGTCTATAGAGTGAGTTCTAGGACAGCCAGCACTATACAGAGAAACCCTGTCTCAAAACAAACAAACAAACAAAAAAACACTTTTATAAAAAGAAACTCTGTTTCCAAAATTTCATTTTGTGTAATTATCTTTAAGGACATATTTTGGAGCTTAATATATAAACTTATATTTTTAATCAAAGATCAAACAAACCAATTTTATGTAAAATAAGTTTATTACTTTTCATTTTTACAACAGATGAAATTTAAGAAAACATTAAAATTTCTAAAACACACTCTATGGTATTAATTACCAACATGAGTATCCACACCGAGTACACTGCAGTGAAAATCACATATCCATGTAATCCTTGTATTTTCTAAGTTTAAAACTTCGGTGGCCACTAAGTTATACAGATAAATTAGCTAGCTAATTTACTCAACCTTACATTTCTGTATAAATTCTTTTCACCAGTATTTGTTCATTTAGCAAATATTAAATAATATCAAAGCATCCAACTGTAACACTGAACAGTGGGCTTTCATGGAACTTCTTCTATTCTACTATGGAATAATTAAGGGTATGACTAATCTGGAGCCGTGTATATAATCTTATTCTATGGAAGGAAAACACCTAAGAAACTCACTTGTTAGCAAGTTCTAAGACTAAAAAGAACTACTCGTGTGAAAGGGAGGCACAAGCAGATAAGTATCTACTGTTGGCATTTGTTAAGGACTGAGACTTTACCCGAACTAAGAACAAGGAGCCCTTAAGAGGTTTAGACTTGAGTGCTGGGAGGGGCTGGAGAGACAGCTCAGGATTAAGAGCACTTGCTCTTGCAGAGAGCTCCAGGTTTGGTCCCCAGCACCCACATGATGGCTTACAGCCATCTATAACTCCAGTTCACGAGGATCTCACACCCTCTGAGGGCACCAGGCATGTGCTTCATAGACATACATGGAGGCAAAGCACTCATACACATAAAATAAAAGTTTTAAATTAGAGAAAAAGTTTCAACTCTTTAGTAAGGTAAATAAATAAAAAGCACCTGATTAAAGAATGGGCCAAGACACTTCATCAAACAAAGTATACAAATGGAAAATAAGCCTACGAAAAGAAACTCAGCATCATATGCCGGCTGGAATTACAGACTAACTGAAAAACAAAGTGCAAGGCGTAGCTTCAATCCCTGTTACCTACATAAGTGAGAGGCCACACTCAGAATGACCAAAACCTGACACATTGACAGTTGGCCAGGACATGACAGTGCTGCAGCAGGGTGCAGAAGACAGCATGGCGGTTTCTCACACACACCATAGGATCTGTAGTACCTCAGTCCCATCCAACATGGGTTGAACGCTTAGAGCTACACAGCCACTTGCACACGGATGTTTACTCACATTTGGAGGCACCCAAGAGGCTCTTTAGTGGTGACACACTCAACTGAAAGCACTATTCATGTTAAGAAGAAACGAGCTATCATGGCATAGAGAGCCACGGTGAAGGCTTTGTGTTGAAGAAGCCAATCCCAGAAGACGTACTGTAAGATACAACTACCTGGCATTCTGGGAAAAGGAAAGCTACGAAGATAACAGAGGGACTAATAGTATCTGAGGGGATAAGGGAGAAGAAAAAGCTAAACAATTAGGGTCGTAAGTTTGCTGCTCAGCCAAATCTCGACACTTTTGTGTTTAATGAAAGCGCTTCTGCAGAGTGTGTGGCAGTGTCAAACAGCATAAATCTAGTCATTTGTCTTGTTGACGCTGGTTAATATTTGCCTAAAGTACAAAAAAACGCACTTGACAGACTTTCCACTGCTTAAGAAAAAAAGAAAAAGCCTTGAGCTTTCTTAATAACACATAACGGTAGCATAGCCCATGCATCATGGTTGTTTCATGCTTTATGCAACCGAATACTAATTACTGTGGTTTTATCAGTCAAAATATCACTTCATACTACGAGGAAATAATCAGATCTCCTTAAAGTAGCTTTGTATCATTACCAGGGCAGTGAGGAAGATTTTTGACCACTTAAATGATCATTAAGAACTAATATTTGACTGATAAATTTTAATTTCATCTTTTACATATTGAGGAAAGAGATTAACAGTTTTATCCATGTCAAGATGTCTGTTTTGGAGGATTGATTCTATCTCTTCAAACACTTCTTTTTCCAGCTTCCTCAGGTTGTCCAATATTGTCATGCTTTTTTCCTAATGAAAACAAATAAATAAAAGTCAATATGCATATATGAATCTAACAAAATCCAATCTACTGGCAAGGTTTGTTTATTCTGGTTTCTATTGGTTTAGTTACCTTCCTATTCTGTAGATGCAGAAGAATGAAAAAGTGATAAAAGAAATAAATCATTGCTCTAGATTCAGTTAATGCAGAAATAATAAAATAGTTATTTTAGCTGAAAATACAAGAACAATCACGTGGTACCAAAAAACAGGAAGCACAGAGCACAACAACTGAAAACTCACTTTGACTGAGTATGAAGGAGAGTGCTGGAAATCAAGACTGAGATGCTAAAAAAAAAAAAAAAATGAGATGCTTTTTGTGGATTTAGAGCATGTGTATTTAAAGATAATTCTATCAGGTAGGGATGGGCCTGGAGTCCATCTCTTGCCCAGCATGCTTGAGAACCTGCGTTCAACCCTTGGCACTGAGAAAACAAGATAGTAAATAAACAAATGCCCTTCACATTGAGGAAACAAAAAAGGTAATTTTTAAGAGCAAAAGCAATAAAAAGACATTTTCTTCTTGTTTACAGGAAGTGGGTATCTGTCCAGAGAAAGAAGCATTTTTCCTATGAGTGCTTCTGGAGATTGAACCCAGGACCTTGAACATGCTGGACAAAGGCTCTATCTCTGAACTTATGTTTCTAACCTAAAAAGGAATAATGTTTAATAACTGAAAAGGTATCATCAACTTTTGAGTCTAGAGGAAAGAAGGAGCACTGTATAAGCACCATTTAGAATTTCTGAACAATTATGGGACACAGCACCATGAAACAGTGATTCCCAACATGATGCTGCAGCACTGTATTTTATAATAATAGGGGAAAATACCTGCCTTCCTGATATAAGATGGATTAGAAAAGTAAATGTTGTTAAATTTTATGTATTTATTTGTGTGTGTGTGTGGGGGTGGGTATGAGTGAGCCTCCATACTTTGGAAGTCAGAGGACAACTTGTAGGAGCTGGTTCTCTCCTTTGACCATGCAGGTACTGGGGACTGAACTCAAGCCGTCAGTCTTGGTGGTAGGTGCCTTTACCTGCTGAGCCATTTCAACCAGTCCTAGAGAATTAATTTTTTTTTTTAAAGTACACATATGTGGGACAGTAAGGTGGCTCTGTGGGTAAAGGTGCTTGCTACCAAGCCTGATTCCACGAGTTCTATTCCCAGGACCTACTTGATCAAAGGAGAGAACTAACTCCTGAAAACTGTCCTCTAACTTCACACACACACACACACACACACACACACACACACACACACACACACTCACACACACTGTGGCAAATGCATGTTCCTATCTATCTATCTATCTATCTATCTATCTATCTATAAATTGATAAACACTTAAAAACCATATATAATCAAGAGGAAATATAGAAAAAAATATTTATTATGAGGCAAGGCAGGTATTTTGAAGAATGAAATCAAGATGCCTTAAGAAAACAACAAATACAACTGACTAAATAAAATTTTTTGACATAAATGTTCAATGTCAGTTGACATTTAAAAAAAAGAGACACAAGCTGGAATGGTGGCATCCAACTGTAGTCTTAGTAGTTGGAAGTCAAGGCATGAGGGCCACTTAAACTCAAGAGTGGGAGTACAACTTGGGCAACATAGCAAGAACCATCTTTATTTCTGTGTGTGTGTGTGTGTGTGTGTGTGTGTGTGTGTTAGTTAATACTTAATTATTGCCTTTTGAGGAAAAACAAAAGACAGACTCAAAAATTAATTGAGAAATAAGCTAAGAAAAAACAAAATTGCTAAGTCACTGAGGAGAAAATCTGACAGGACTCGTAGATTTCCTGCCACACTAGTAATCAAGAAATGCAAATTAAAACTATCACAGAAGTGATTCTCCTTAAAGCACAGAAGTAGTTATTTAGAGAAGCAGAAGTAGTCTCCAGCTCTGTGACACTTCCTTCAAATTCTATCTTCCATTAGAGTATCAATCCATAATGTTCATTAAAGTCTAAACCAGTAATAACTTATAAGTCAATTCAATTTAGTTTACCAAATATTTAATACTGCCATAAAACCTACCTCCTAGGAGCAGTTTAGGGCAAAGGCTATGAACACTTGAGTGTTGTCATGAACAATGAAGGGTGTGTGGTCGTGGAGCAAGGCACCAGACAGGGCAAGTATTGCCAAGGAGAATGAGCAAAGCACAGGGACCAGAGGGCCTAGAATCTTAGCTGCTGTGGCAGGAGGATCATAAATTCAAGCAGTGCCTGGGTTATAGACTGACTTCAAGACCAGTCTGGGAAACTTAATGAGCCTTTGTCTCAAAGAGGCCTGGCAACAGTGATGAGGACAGTCAACAGGTGGTAGGGATAGGGGAGAAACACACAAGATGGCTGGTGTTTTTATAGGGAGTGACTTGGTGCTTGCCATTACACAGCTCTCCCGTTTCCTTTGTACCTATGGGGTGTTTGTTTGTTTGTTTTCCTATCTCTATAGTTGGGGAAAACATTAGGGAGAAGTGAAGAGGTACGATATTACAAAGTTATCTTCTGGGGGCTGGAGAGATGGCTCAGTGGTTAAAAGCACTGGGTGCTCTTCCAGAGGTCCTGAGTTCAATTCCTAGCACCCACATGGTGGCCACAACCATTTGTAATGGGATCTGATGACCTCTTCTGGTGTGTCTAAAGAGAGCAACAGTGTACTCATGTACATGAAATAAATAAATAAATCTTTTTTTAAAAGTCAACTTTCGATCTGTTCCACGAAATAAATTCATGTCTGTTTCTGGAGATGCTGTTTCAAGTGATATGTAGCTTTTCTACATTGCTTCAAGTTTTAAAATAATGAGGATCTACTGTAACAACAACAATTAAAACAAACCAAAAACGGAGCTGGGCATGGTGGCACACCTTTAATCTCAGCACTCCTGAGGCAGAGGCAGACAGAGGCCTGTGAGTTCAAGGCCATCCTGGTCTACACTGCAAATTCTGGGCTAGTCAAGAATATACAATGAGACCCTGTCTCAAAACTATAAGCCAAAGCCCAAACAAAAACCTCAGCTCCTTCTTTCAAGTCTATAGAAATTGATTGTTGTTTCTGGTTGTATCTGCTTGTTGGCAGTGCTTTGGGTCTGGGGACTTAGATATGCCGGCTAAGCAAGCTCTCACTGACTTCCAGCCCTTGAATCACTCTAATTCTAATGTGGGGCTGTGGGATTAAGAACATTATATACAAAGACCAGGTAATGTACCCTTCAGAGACTTTGTAGCATTTCGTGTAGAATGTATACTGAGCAAATTAAGCAGCTTCCCCTGGCCTCAGAATCTTCATCAGAATAATAAAATAATAATATTAATCCCTTCCTCATAAAAATGGCTATAAAGATTAAAAGAGACATACAAAACTATACATATAATAAGTGTTCAGTAATTGTTAGCTATTGTTACTATGTTCAAAATTCTAAATTTTTCTAAAAGAGTCAACATACATACTCTTTGTTTTTGTTTTTCAAGACAGAGTCTCTCTCTGAGACCAGGCTGGCCTCCAAATCACAGAGATCCACCTGCTTCTGTCTCCCAAGTGCTAGGACTAAAGGCATGTGATGCACATACATACTCTTTTTTTTTTCTGGTTTTCCGAGACAGGGTTTCTCTGTGTAGCCCTGGCTGTTCTAGAACTCACTCTGTAGTCCAGGCTGGCCTCGAACTCAGAGATCCACCTGCCTCTGCCTCCCAAGTGCTGGGATTAAAGAAGGCACATGCTACCATACTGGCTTCATGCTCTTAAGCAAAGGAAAAGCTACAGTGCCTCATCAGTCTGAGAGTAACTATTTCTAACCCTATTTTTTTTACATGAAGGACAAAAAGAAAGCTAATACTCCAAAATATGAATGGAATTACATCTTAAACTATTCCAAACGATACAATAAATACTATGAGCTAACCATACCTTATTGCTACTTATCATGTCCAAGGCCTGCTGATGTTTTTGGTAGAGCAGGTGTCGTCTGTCAGGCTTGACATATGATCTCTTTGCCACTGGCCTTTCAAGTTCAAATGTTGGTGATTTCGTATCCAACAGTGGTGAAATATGTGGTACGAATATGAAAGGCTTAAAAACAGACCTAGAAGAAAGGGTCTTTGTTGAATTTGCATGTTAAAATATTAAAAAAAATAACTATTGTCTTTGTAGATTCCTTCTAATTGAGGCGTCTAATGATGATGCTTGTACTGTGATTGGTCCCCACCACATCGGTTAGTCTCAGGCTCATCTCCCTTGTGCATTTAGGCAAGAAGGCAATGCTTCACTTAGCTTTGTATTCTCAAAGACCCACCAGTTGGCCCAGCACCCTAAGAATATCAGAAAATGAAAAGTTTGTCATTTGCCAAGGTAGAGGTAATCCTAAGTGTCACAGACAGTAGTTATGACTTATATAAAAAATCAGCACCACGTTAATATGAAAAACTGTAATGCTGGAGAAGAATAGAGATAAAATTGTTCCTAATGTAACATACATTAAATTCTATGAGAGATACTAATGGTTCAAATCAAGACATGTTAAGGACGCCCTAAGGACACTTAACTAAAACCGATAATATTTTAAATTGTGCATGTGTGTGTATTCTAAATAGGGTACCTAAGTGTATCTGGTATAAGATCACTTAAGCTGTTCACTGTTATTATCACTGAATGTTATAAAGTCTGAAATCAGTAAGAAAGATGATCTACTTCTCTTCTTGACAGTGTTAAATACACTTGTGGAGAAAGGGATAACCACACACAGGAAGCCATGGGCCTTCTCTTATAAAAATGACAAAAGTTACACACACAGAGAAACTGCAAACTAGAATCCAGACAATATATTACAAGTTATAGCCTTATTGATGTAATAAAGATTCATACTGAGGAACTGAGAGACGGCTCGGTGTAATACTCTTGCGGAAGACTTGCATTCAATTCCTACCTTGGGCAGCTCACAACCCCCTGCAAATCCAGCTCTGGGTAAGCCAATGCCTCGGGTCTCTGCACATTCATGTCACAAGCACACACAATTTAAAATAATAACTAAAACTTGAAAAGGACACAATTGCTTATAAAAATCGTACTGACAAAATCATGTACACACTAATGATTGTACCCCATCCTGTGACCTCTAGGTGGTTACAGTGCTGGAAGACTTTACCTCTCAGGGTGCGGAGTCCCCGTAAAGAGGTGAATGCAAGGAAGGCTGGGATCCTGAGGTAAAACAGAAACCATGCTTGCCGTGGTCAGGAACTCTCCCTTCATGTTGATGCCACTGGGTCTGTCTCGAAGAATTTCCACCATCGTTTCAAAAGTTATGTTTCCTGAGGAAATCATTTAAAAACCCATCGAATAATGCATATATTTTACAAGCTTAGGCTTTTTACTCTATTAATAAGATACAATGATACATACTGGTGTTGATTCTCCAGCACCACGAGGGGGAAGGCAAATGGTGAAAAGTATGTTCATTACCGACCTGTGTCTCAGCATTTATATCAGCCACAAAATCAAACAGCAGATTAGTCATGTATGGTACTGTGTTACCAAGTCTGTCTAGCAAGAGCAAATACTGACTATTTATCAACTAAATAAAAAGCCAGTGTGGAGGACAGGATGAAACCTATTTAGGGACCTGGAGAGATAGCTCAGTGGTTAAGAGCACCTGCTGCTCTTGCTCTTTTTTAAAACCAAAACAAAACAAAAAACCCATTTATTTATTTATTTATTTATTTTATTTATTTATTTTGTGCATTGTTCTGCCTGCATATATGCCTGAACACCAGAAGAGGGTACCAGATCCCACTACAGATGGTTGTGAGCCACTATGTGGTTGCTGGAAATTGAACTTAGGACCTCTGAACCATCTCTCCAGTCCCCACATTTGAATTCTGTCTTTTTGTTTGGCTTTGCATGGAGTGTTTGTTTTCTTACACAGAGGATTTAATGATCTTATGGACATAAGGAAGATGCAGAGAGATACTTCCACTCAACTGAGATGGATCTGCTCTGTTCATTCTCTCCTGTGAAGATTGCAGAATTCTGGGATCTCAACTTAGACCACTTTATATTCCTGCCTCTCAGCTGATCCTCAAATAAAGCTGTCTTCAGGCCTATGGCACTTGTGGGGTCTCTGGTTTGTTTTTAAGGGCCTTAACAACTACTTTCTGATTGATCACATTGTGTTTCATAATACCTTTAAACCAGAGAATGTGGAGTGCCCAGCATGAGTTGATATATCTAAAACACAGCTCTTGTACCCAAGGCTCAGGTAATATCACAAAAGGGAAGAAAAGATTGTAGTTAGAAGACCAAGAAATTGGCTGTGAGACTGTGTCCTTTATCTGTAACAGGGAAGCTATGCCCATGAAATACCAACAACATGGCTGCCTAAACAAGACCTGAGCAATTCCAACGAACATTGATAAGCCAATGTAGATGGAAGAAATCCCACGGGACTCCATTCCCTAAATGAAGAAAAATCCCATGGGGCTCCATCCCCTAGATGAAGAGTTACTGGTAATCAAGAACTGCTGAGAGAAAAAAAGGGGGTGGAGTAGGGTGGGGTGTTTGTGGGGAGGAGGATGGGATTAAATCTTCCCTGGGAATGAGCCCTAACGGGTTATCCAGTACTAAGTGGTCAGTCCTAGAAACACATGCATGCAGGTGATATTGAATTAGCTCAGCAGGTTGAATTTTTATATAGGTTTATTTGTGTGTATATGGTAACAACAATAGTTAAAGAGGAGGTCATAAACTTGGAAGGGAGAGGTGGCCATACACAGGAGGGACAGGGGACAAACAATAAAATTATAAATATATATTTTTTTGTTTCTTTGTTTTCAACATAGGGTTTCTCTGTGTAGCCCTTGCTATTCTGGAACTCGTTCAGTAGACTAGGCTGGCCTTGAACTCAGAGACTCACCTGCCTCTGCCCCCCAAATGCTGAGCTTAAAGGTGTGCACCACCACTATCCAGCTATAAAATTATATTTTAATTATATTTTTTTAAAAAATGAGAAAAGTAAAATAAAATTTCTGCCATTAGATACACTAGGATTTCTTATGTGGAAATGTTTCTTGTACTAAAATTAGTTCTAAAGAAACAAATAATCTTCATTTACCTGTGGTTGACTAACTACAGGTTTTCCTTTCCTTACAAAACCCTACAAAAATTGGGACTGGAAGCATATAATACAGTGTATGTGCTTACTATACACCAGGACCTGGATTAACTCACAAAGACAATCTAAAAGGTGAGACTCTTCCTCTTCCTCTTCTTTAATATGGGGTTCACAAGAGAAGGTTCACAGCAAGTCTGTATCCAAATTATGATCTTTTGATGCTTCAATGAGAAAGGATATTAACTTTGATATGGAAGAATCTAAAGTGCCGCTGTTAAAGATACAAGCTACCAACCATTTTATATTAATGGCAACAGATTTGATGTACATATACTCGCTCTTACCTAGTTCCTTCATGGCAGAGCATGATTCAAATTCTGAAAGTGCCTTACTGAATTTACAGATAACTTGTTAGAGGAGCTTATCTTTTAGCAAATCTTAAATAATACTAGGAAGAAAAGAAGGCTACATCTACATTGAGCCTTTGATATTAAACTTAACAATAAAGCAAAACCCTACCATTCACACCTACCTGTCAGGCACCAAGCTTCAACATCTAGTGAGATTTAAAATGATTCAGGTCTAAATGCCTATAAATGGCAAGTTTTAATAAAAAAAAAATGTCAGAACTGTAACACAGTGATAATACAGGCATTATAAAAATGTTTTCAGGATTCAAAACCTACAATTCTCAAAATGAAAGGAGGATTTGCATGATCTCTTGAGTAGGGCGGCTGTAAGTGAACCACTAGCAAGCATTGGATAAGTACTGGGACCGCAGCGGCAGGTTCAGCAAAGTGAACGGAAAACACAGGGTGCAATTTCATAGCAATTTAAGCTGGCTACTTAGAATACACGCATGGATACAGACACAATTTGATATACATGCAGCACACTTAATAGCTATCAGCTAGGGATAGATGGAAAGAAGGAAGTAGGCTCTTCATCTAGAAAAAAAATAGCGAAATTTAAACATAATACAATTTCATATGGGATCTACTGGAAAGACATTTACTCTTTTTGGCAAAGCATTGAAAACTGGAAGAATTGTACATCACACTTGAAAAAAATGAAGTCTGTGTCACATGCATCCACTGCTATATTCAGGCATGCATTTCAGGTCTGCGATCTGGTTATCCTGTAGTTAAATATAACAATTATTTCAATGTAATAGCTTACTAATTTATACTAGTCTATGTGGCTGTCTCCCTTTTGTCTGGTTACCCTCAACCTTGGGATTACTGATGTTTTCGATTCTATCACGTTTGCCTGAGACAGCCTTTTTTTTTTAATCAAATCGTAATTTTTACTTATTCACACAAGGGTTATAAACACAAAAAGGCAGGACGTGGGGAAGGGGATGACACCAGAGTGTGGATGTTCAGGGGAGTACAGATATCTTTCAGAACCGGGTATCGGCTGGGTGAAGGTTCAGGGGACAGGTCACTATGACTCTGCCTATGACTCACTTGTCCTTATCTAAGTTGGTATTGTCTGCCAAGGCTACCTATTTACAAGGTCTATGACTACTTAGGCTGGTATATTTCCACAAAAGCTGCCTGTTTTACAATAGCTTATAGCCATCTGTTTCAATGTTTTTCCCCAGGGACCCAAGACTTGGTATTAGTATACATGTATGACAGGCCTATTGCTGATTTTAGGCCAATGGCTGATTTTAGGACTTCAGTGTATAAGCAGCACTGCTCTTGACATCTCCTCCCTTCTCTAAGTACAGAAGGGCTGTGGCGATTCTAATATTGCAAAGGCGGGGATAGAGGCCTGACATCCAGTAATTGAAGGGGACTTTGTAATGGCTCCAGTCCCCCTGTCATTGTCCAGTGAGGCATGAGAGCCTTACCCATCCTGATGTCTTTTTCCTGGAGAGGGGATACTTTTGACATCAACTCCTCTACAGTGCCTGAGACAGTCTTACTACACAGCCCAGACTGGTATGGAACTCGTTTGTGCCTCAGCTCCCAAGTGGTGAATCCTCACACCTGGCTCATTCCTCTCCATTTTAATTATGTACCTGCTGATCTCCAACTTTGTGAGGGCAGGTGGTTGTGCAGAAGCATGAGTGCACATGTGCACATGGATGGAGGTCAGAGGTCAACATCAAGTATCTTCCTGTCTTGGTCTCCGCCTCATGTTTAGAGACTGACTCAGCTAGACCAATGGTTCTTAACCTGTGGGTGGAGACCCCTGTGGGAGCCAACCAACCTTTCCACAGGGGTCGCCTAAGACAAGCCTCTTTGGAAAGGATCAAGCAGTGTGGCCTTGTTGGAAGAGATGTGGCACTGGGAGTGGACTATGAGGTTCCCAGGGTGTATCTGTCCCTCTGTCTCTTTTTTCTCTCTCTCTTCCTCTCCTCTCTCTGTCTCTGTCTTTCTCTGCTTGCTACCTGGGGGGATTACAGTAAAGCTCTCACCTACTTCTCCAGCGTCATGCCTGGCTGGTGCACGCTATCACGCTCCCACCATGATGATAATAATGGACTGACCCTCGAAAACTGTAGACAAGTCCCCAAAGAAATGCCCTCTTGTATAAACGTTGCCTTGACCGTGGTGTCTCTTCGCAGCACTAGAACACTTGACTAAGATACATGGGCTGGGGAAATGGCTCACTGGGAAAGCACTTGCTGTGAGCTTTGAGTTTGGATCCTCAAACCCCAAAAACCCAGAGATGGCAGCTCACACCTGTAACCCCAGGGCTGGGGTGCAGAGACAGGGTCTGAGGAGCTTGCTAGCTAGCTTCCCTCACTGAAACAGTAAGCTCCAGATTCAATGAGAGACTGTCTCAAAAACTCAGGAGGAGAGTAACTAAGGAAGACATTAAACCTCAGGCCTCCAAATGCACAACCATGGGTGTGCACACCTAAACATGTATGTGTGCTTATGCAAAGCCACACACAAACAAAAAGGATAAAACATATAAACAAACGAAAATACTACTGTTAAAAGTTAATTAAAAGAAGTAACAGTTTAGCTAGGTGTGGTGGTGCATGCCTTTAGTCCCAGCACTAGACAGACAGAGTCAGGCAGATCTCTAATTAGTTCAAGACCAACCTGGTCTACACAGTGAATGCTAGGCCATTCAGCTTAATATATATATATATTGTAATTCAAATATTTATTTATCTAATTCAAATTCTTTTTTAAAAAATAGAAAGTCTCTTGAGGATTGAGAATTTGTCCTTGACCCTCAAAAGGAATCAGTATTCTCTTACAATGGTTTAACACTTTACACATATCAAAAAATAGTGTATACTATCCTAATACTTTGCTTTATTTAAACCATATTTTTACTAGGTATGAGATCGTTCCCACATTATATCTGCACAAAATTCAATGTTTAAATGCTATTTAAATGTTGAACTTACCTTTGTGTCTATCCAGAAGCTTGTAGCCCTGACAGAATCTGCTTGGTGAAGTCATCATGGCAGCCGTGTCAATATAAGAATATGCCGCAGTAAAATCAAACTCCTCTTTGCCATCCCACCAGCCCCTCTGCTTAGCATAGTTTCTCATGTCTGGATGTTCCCGGTCAATCTTGGTTGTTATGGAAAGCTGATTGGAAATATTACGAACTCCTATTTGTAAAGGATGGGAAGGAGAAGAAAAGCTGCCTTTAACATAAAGTATCTATCCCTACATTATGATTCTCAATCACTATTTCAACAGAAGTTTTGCCATGTATATTCTACTGCATATTCTAAATAACTAATTAAAATTTAAATTAAGCTTTGAGATAACTGTAGACTCAGATGCAGTTAAATGAAATGATCCAGAGAGATAGTATATACTTCACTCAGGTTCTAACCACACATTTTAAAAACTATAGAATATTATCACAAAAAGAACATTGGTATTGATAGTGTCAAGGAAAAGAATCCTTGGACCATCCATCCATCATCTTACCCTTTCATACCGGAGCCATGCATCTCCCAATCCCAATGACTCATTAGATCTAGGTATACTTGGTATCTAAAACCACACATGCACCAGCACGCACATGCGCACACACACGTGCGCACACACACACACACCTTGAGTTTATATATATTGGGCAAAGGCATATGCCACAAACTGACCCCTCTGAGTTGGACCCCTACAGCCCATATGATGGAAAAAGGAAGCTGAATCTCGAAGTTGCCCTCTGACCACCACACACATAACACAGCACATGTGCCCACAGACACATGCCACAGCACATGGGCCCACACACACATACCACAGCACATGGGCCCACACACACATACCACAGCACATGGGCCCACAGACACATGCCACAGCACATGTGCCCACAGTCACATGCCACAGCACATGGGCTCACAGACACATGCCACAGCACATGGGCCCACAGACACATCTGTTTTAAAAGAATGTTATACACATAGAATGGTACAGTAAATACCCTTCTGGCTTTTTAAAAATTATTTAAAATTTTTTAAATTTGTTTTAAATTTTAATTTGTTTTCTCCTGTGTGGGACCCCGAAGGGCTGCTACGCCCTGGCTGAGCCTTTCCGTATGCTGCTGTCTACTAAGTAACATTCTGAGGTTCCTCTAGGATCAAAACATCCTGACTAAGGCATGGTGCCCCAGGAAGGGAATTTACACTTGACATCCTATTGCCCCCCATCCCCAGTTGAGTTCCTGCTTTTTCACATCCTGACTAATACGTGGTGCCCCAGGAAGGGAGTTTACACTTGGCATCCTATTGCCCTCCAGTTGAGTTCCTGTTTTTCCCTGAGTTTGTATTTTTCCTTCCCTGGCTTGGTGTATATATTGAACCTGCCCAGTAAAGGCATTGGCATTCTCTCACAACGGATGACCCGAGTCTGAGTATTTCTTTAATCCCCCAGAACTACGCCCGAGCTCAGTACCCCGGATAGCACTGGAGCTATCAAGTGGAGGTTCCACCGAAATCGGGAAAGAGAGCAAAACCTGACGGGATTGTTCCTGGAAGAGGCTGGCCGGCCGGCTCAGTGAGTGGAACGTATTGGAGAAGCAGCGTGGGATCAAACTTAAAGTAGTAAATAGCACACTAAGGGAGTTTGACCATTTTGATTGCGCCATGGGAACTAGGAGTTCCTCCCTACAAGTAGCGGCACAGAATGATGCAGCCAAGAAATCCTTGCATGAGGTGAAGAACAACTCCAGTTCTGAGGATGAGGGAGAAATTTTAGAAAAGGAAAAAACTGAAGAAATGCAAGGTCAAAAAATTGGAAGGGGAGCCTGGAAAAGGGGAAGCGAGAGCGGACGAGCTACTCAGTCCCCTGGTGGTGGTGGTGGCAGCCCGGATGGCACGATGGCCATGCCAGGGGCATTTCTGCTGCTGCAGCATCAGTGGTGGCGGGTGGCTGCAGGAGCTGAGGAGGCTACAGTCCACACCAGCCATGCTGGATAAAAACAAGAAAGAGAAAGAACCACCAAAACTAGTGAAAAGTGGAAAGGGTTCAAAAGAAGAAGGACAAGATACAGCAGAAGTAGAGATAGCCAGCAGGAAAAACAGCCTCGGAGCTGTCCAGTCTTCGACACCTACTAAAATAAAAGTACCAGTCCCTCAGCCAATCATAGTCCCTGTGAAGAAAGACAAATGGCAGAACTCTTCACTGGTTTAATGCCAGCAATAATAGAGAACTGCAAAAATTCCCATCTTTACAAGATGTTCCTCCTGTGGGTCAAGAGAAGCTTTTTATCCAGAAGCTAAGTCAGTGTTGTGTCCTCTTTGACTTTGCTTCTGACCCACTGAGTGACCTGAAGTGGAAAGAAGTAGAGCGAGCTGCGCTAAGCGAAATGGTGGAACATATCACCTACAACCAGAACACGATCACAGAGCCCATTTACCCCGACGCCGTCCACACGTTTGCAGTTAGCATGTTTCGAACCTTGCCACCCTCCTCCAATCCTACAGGAGAGAATTTGACCCAGGAGGAGATGAACCGACGTTAGAAGCAGCCTGGCCTCATCTGCAGCTTGTTTATGCATTTCTTAAGATTTTTAGAGCCTCTAGATTTCCAGCCCAATATAGCCAAGAAATATATTGATCAGAAGTTTCTATTGCAGCTTCTAGAACTCTTTGTCAGTGAGGATCCTTGGGAGAGAGATTTTCTAAAAACAACCCAGCACAGAATCTATGTGAAGTTCTTAGCCCTACACGCTTACATCAGAAAACAGATCAATAATATATTTTATAGGTTTATCTATGAGACAGAGCACCACAAATGGCATAGCAGAATTACTGGAGATCCTGGGAAATATAATTAATGGATCTGCCTTACCACTAAAGGAAGAGCACAAGGTTTTCCTGTTGAAGGTGTTGCTGCCCTTATACAAAGTGAGGTCCCTGAGTGTCTACCATCCCAAGCTGGCATACTGTGTCATGCAGTTTTTAGAGAAGAACAGCACCCTCACTGAACCAGTGGTAATGACACTTCTCAAATACTGGCCAAAGACTCACAGTCCAAAAGAAGTTATGTTCTTAAATGAATTAGAAGAAATTTTAGATGTAATTGAACCATCAGAATTTGTGAAGATCATGGAGCCTCTTTTCTGACAGCCAAATGTGTTTCCAGCCCTCACTTCCAGGTGGCAGAGTGGGCACTCTATAACTGGAATAACGCATACATCATGAGTTTAATCAGTGACAATGCAGCGAAAATTCTGCCCGTCATGTTTCCATCCTTATACCACAATTCAGAGCCCTCCTGGTATATGTCTGCTTTGTCTATGGCTCCTACTGGAGAAATCCTTATTTCTGCTTTCCCCATTTATTGTCTGTCCTTGGCATGCCAATCTGTTAATTGTCTGTTTTTGTTTCATTGTTTTATGTTAAAAAGGTGTTTATTGGGTATGATTAAAACTTCTCAACTTTGATAATAGAAAGTTGGTTTAACTAGTAACTCAGGGCTGGAGAGATGGCTCAGCTGTTAAAGGCCAGGCTATAGTGGAAAGAACACATTTAACTTTGAAAAATTATCTTGAAAAAACAAAAAGGGAGGAGTTTACCTAACTTCATGCAAGATTATCTTTTATTTTATATATTTTAAATTTTTTATTAGTGGATAAGGATGCATTGTCTGCAGAAGACAGACATTGGAAACGAGCCCAGAAGGCACTGGGCTTAGTGAAATGGAAAGAATTGTCATCAGGTGTATGGAAAGGCCCTGACCCTGTGTTAGACAGGGTGAGAGGTTCTGTTTGTTTTTCCTAAAGATCCTGAAAGTCCTGTTTGGATTCCTGAGCGTTGTGTGCGCCCTGTCACTACGCAGTCTCGCCCAAGTGGAGATCTACTGGAGCCTTGTGAAGAACCCCCCCAGTTCTGATGTCAATGGGGATAAGCAGCTTGACTTGGCCGGTCATAGTTCCCACCAACAAGACTACTAGAAAAGCTGCTCCTAATTCTGAGAAACCAATAATTTCTTTATGTTAATATTAATGTTACTTGTGTGCAGCCTCTCTATGGAAAAAAGTTTCTAGCAGGACTCAAACTGGCTGGAAGGCTCCTTAAAAGATGGGCTAGAGATCCTTGTCTCTGGGAGTCCTAGCCTTTGGGGCAGCCACAGCAGGACTGATATTTCTTTGCCACTTTCACAGACAACAGATCCAGTCCCAGGCAGTTACTAAGCAGGTGCTTATGTTGCTGGCATGAGAGAACCCTTCTGCCCAGGTTTGGCTCAGCCTTTACCAAGAATAGTTAGTCAATGATGGGCAACTCCTTTGTAGTCTTTGTAGTCTTTGTAGCCCCTAAAACAGGGGCTCTGAGGCTGGCAGGGATTCCCAATAACGAGTAATTGGTATTGACGGAAGGTGACCTAAGACAGACGATATTCGCCTGTGAAATAAAAACGGGGGACCTGTGGGACCCCAAAGGGCTGCTACGCCCTGGCTGAGCCTTTCCATATGCTGCTGTCTACTAAGTAACATTCTGAGGTTTCTCTAGGATCAAAACATCCTGACTAAGGCATGGTGCCCCAGGAAGGGAATTTACACTTGACATCCTATTGCCCCCCACCCCCAGTTGAGTTCCTGCTTTTTCACATCCTGACTAATACGTGGTGCCCCAGGAAGGGAGTTTACACTTGGCATCCTATTGTCCCCCAGTGGAGTTCCTGTTTTTCCCTGAGTTTGTATTTTTCCTTCCCTGGCTTGGTGTATATATTGAACCTGCCCAGTAAAGGCATTGGCATTCTCTCACAATGAATGACTTGAGTCTGAGTATTTCTTTAATCCTCCAGACCTACGCCCGAGCTCAGTACTGCAGGCAGCGCCAGAGAGGTCACTCCTGTGTATGTGTGCAGAGGTCACCCTTTCATCTTGTTGTGTGACTCACTCAGGTTGTCAGGGCTGGCAGCAAGTACCCTTACCTGCTCAGCCATCTTATTGTCCTGCCTTCTGGCCTTTCTAACTCAGCCTAATTATAGGAAGACTCATCATGTTACTAATAGTTCATTTGTATCTTGTATGATACAGGACACTTTGTTTATCATTTCAATACATGTATATACTACTCAATGGCCAGATTAGCAATCTATCAGAGATGTAGCATTTCTGTGTTGAAGACGCTCAAAGCAACAATATAGTTCTTAAGAGGATGAGAAAGCACTAGCAAGATTTTCTCAACAGGATGATCACACCCAGGAAGGCATTTGTTTTACATGACCAGGTAAGACTTTTTTCAATAGTATCTATATTCCTTTGCCTTTCAGGTAGCATGTTTAATAAAAGAAAAAGTAGTCATTGATATAACCAAGTCAATCAGTGTAATAATAAAATGGACTAAATTTAATTTTATATATTTTATTAATACATAGAAAATGTCAAACTTGCCGGGTGGTGGTGGCACACGCCTTTAAACCCAGCACTTGGGAGGCAGAGGCAGGCAGATTTCTGAGTTTGAGGTCAGCCTGGTCAACAGAGTGAGTTTCAGGACAGCCAGGGCTACACAGAGAAACCCTGTCTCGAAAAACCAAAAAAAAAAAAGAAAGAAAGAAAGAAAAAGAAAAAGAAAATGTCAAACTTAAAATATAAAAACAGCATTTTCTAAAGCCCATGAAATTAGAGCTGCAAGGTTGCTCAGTGGTTAGAGCACTGGCTGCTCTTCCAGAGGTCCTGAGTTCAATTTCCAGCAACCACATAGTGGCTCACAACCATCTGTAATGGAATCTGATGCCCTCTTCTGTGCTCACATATATATATATTAAAAAAAAAAATCTAAAAGAAGAAAGAGGAGGAGGAGGAGGAGGAGGAGGAAGAAGAGGTGAAGAAGAAGGAGGAAAAGAAGAAGAAAGAGAAGAAGAAGAAGAAAAGGAGGAGGGGGAGGAAGAAGAGGAAGAGGAAGAAGAGGAGGAGGAAGAAGAAACAGCCCATGAAAATAACTGGCAAGAACCTATTTTGAAGGTAAAGCTCAAATCTTCCAGCACAGGCTCCCTGTGAAGTCCTTTTGAACTCCTCCAGAAGCTCACAGTGACTTTCCTTCCTCTAATGGTTACAGTATTGCGGGTCCACATCATTCACCCAGTTAGTTAACTAATTAATTGAGGCAGGCTCTCCTGAGTCCCAGGCTGTACTCAAACTCTGTGTGCGGTAGACAATGATCTTGGGCTTCTGCTCTTCCCTGCCTCTACCCCTCCCAGACGGTGGGATTACAGCTGTGTGCCACTGGTCTCAGTTTTACACACTGCTGGTGATCACACCAGGACTTATGTGTGCCAGACAAGCACAACACCAACTGGGTTAACCTCTGTTTAGTATTTTTACAGGTATCTCTTATCTCCTTTGGAAAACTAGGAGATTCGAGATGTCAGTGCACAAGAAGCATAAGATTATGTTTCCACACAAGGCTGTTCTCTACAGAACAAGGAAATGGAGGTGAAGACTTTCACTCAGCACACTAAGTTCCTTTCTATCTCTGGATTTCTTCACTTGAAATTAAGAGGACTGGCTGTGGGAGAAAACTTTTTTTTTTTTTTTTTTTTTTTTTTTTTGGTTTTTCGAGACAGGGTTTCTCTGTGTAGCCCTGGCTGTCCTGGAACTCACTCTGTAGACCAGGCTGGCCTCGAACTCAGAAACTGGGAGAAAACTTAATGGGTTATGTGAATTCTAATCCCCAGGACTCAGGTAAAGTCAGGGATGATGGTAGTGTCTACAGTCTCAGAGCTTCTGTGGTGAGACAGAAGACAATGGTAGAAAATCTCCAGACGCATGTGGATCAGACAGGCAAGTACACACAGGAGCCATAAACAACTAGGACCATGAGTCACCACAGGTTGTCCTCTGGCCTTCACTTGTACGCAGTGGTCCTGCATGTCTCCCCCCACATATATACATGCACTTGTGTCACAAAGAAACACACACAAGAAGAAATAAGAGGAATATATGACCACAAATAAATCACCTGGAGAAATCAATTCCAGAGCAATCAAACTGCATTTACTCAACGACATCCAATTCTAACCACTGATGCAAAGCCATCCATCCCAGCCAAACTCCCTTTCTTTACCCCTATACTTACACAGGATACAATTCTGGAATTCAGTCCAAAGACAGAAAAGGAAGACAACAAGGAGTGGTTAAAAAGAGAGAGAAAACAAATAAACAAGCAAACAAACCACCACCACCACCATCACCACACCGTAAGCAGCCACAAGTTGCTGCGGAGATAACGCTACCTGGTAATTTTTGCACAAACGCTCTCCATGGTTCTCATTCCCTTTCTGTTCTTTCCTATTTTAAACCTTGCTCTGCAGTTTATCCTTTAATGCAATGGATTATAAATCTTGCAAGGCAAGTGAATGCATTATCTACAGTTAGGTGCAGATTTTATTAATTACATAATTATATAAACCAAATTGCAAATCGGTTGTTCATACCTTGGACTTTTTCTGCTGCCCAGTACTTCCCTGAGGTCTCCAGAATCCAGGCTTCCTTCCTATCAGCGATCAGGAAACTGTTGTGATAGCTGAATTCTTCTCCCTCTGCACAGTTTCCACCTTGGCCGTATTTTTCTAGTAAGTCAACAATGACATTGAGAGCTTTCTCAGCTGTGTCAGCTCTTTCAAGGCCAAGCCTAAAATAAAAATAATGACACTCTCAGATTAAAAATCACTTCCTTTACTCATCTTAACTTCATATTCAAAAAATACTGTATTAATTACACTCAAAGTAAGAACATGCAAGTTAATAGGTAAAATAAAATCTGTTGAAGTCTTACTTCTAAAGGCATTTCCAGTCAATGAAAATGTTTTGAAGTTCCATCTTGGCAATTTATCACAAAGTTATTTTTATTTCTAAGACTGAGATTTTTTTTGTAAAATTAAAGTATTAATCAGCCATGTGATAAAACAATTGAGGCGTTTCTAATTGATTTCTAATTTGGCCCCTCTCCCAGTTAGTGATGTGCATGGGTATGTATGAGTTGTCGGTAAGTGTTTGTGTGGTACATATAGGTGTTTATGTGGGTGTGCATCTGAGGGTGTGCATGTGTGTAAGTATGCATGTAGAAGCCAGAAGTCTGTCAGATTCCTCAATTGTGCTTCACCTTATTTTACGAGTCAGGGTCTCTCGGTGAACCGGAACTTACCCATGAAGCTAGAATAACTGCCCAGCGAGCCTGGGAATCTGTGTGCTTCTGCTTCCCCAATGCTGGGGTTGTTACAGATGCAAAAGATGAAACTCAGGTTCTCATGCTTGTGCAGTAAGAGTTGTGTGGACTGAGCTATGCACTTAGACTAATTAGTGATATCGAAGAGTCATGGATGTGGGTTGGTGCTACCGTTTCTCAAGTCATCTGCAGTGAGAAAGCAGCATAACCATTACCTGACAAGGTCCATGCCCAGAAGTGCTTCCTCCTTAGAAATATCTTCTCTTCCCCATACAGCCTCATTCCCAATGCAGACTCCATGCTCGTTGGCACCCATTTCTGCCCCCCACAGCCAAGCTGGGCGACTAAGGACAACAGCATATGTTTCAGGAACTTGATCAACTTCGATATAAGTACACTGTAAAAAGAAAAAGTCATACAACTACACAACCAAAAATGAAAAGTTACCAAATCCCAGAACGTAAATCACCATTGCGAAGAGATGAGCACTAGGAAGGTAGGGAAATGGAGCTACATTAAAATTTTCCATAATAAAACTCATGCAGAATTGACCCCAAAGCATTTACCATTTAAGTATTTCCTGAGTGTGTCCTATTATAATATATCCTGCTAAGACAGGTCAGTTACAAAGAGAAATCAAGATAGACCTTCATTCAAAAAACAAAGACTTCCCCATTAACTGAGATACAACAAACATTAAGTATTAAGGCCAGGAGGAGGATGGACAGAGCTGCTTTAGGAGTGATGGTTACTAATCTTCAAATTGTTTCATGGAAAACAATATGTTTCATATGATTAATATGAGTTGACGAGCAAGAAAGCAGTCCCTGAGTTCAATGTCTAGCCTGTCCTGACTAGTGACATATGTATTATGGGTTCATGAGACCCTCAGTCAGTTGAGAGTGGCCAACGGCCCACATTTCCAGTGTCAGTGACCTCTGAGGCATCTCCACCCCAGTGGAGTGAGAACCTGACCTACATGATGGGCGACATTTAAACATACAGATATAGAATACAAAAAGTCTAATATTTAATGTGTTTATCAATGTTAGAAGATCAGAAATCCAAAAAGTTTATAACAACAGACGATAATATAACCTTTAAGTTCCATGTAAATAGACTCTTTAAATAAAGAATTTAAAGGACGTTTTATTTAATGTGCATATAAGAGGTGAGGAAAAATATACAAAATGTATGCATTAGGAGCCTAAAATCCTTTTTGATGAACTGCAAAACTTACTTACAGGGCTGAAAATGTGGCTCAACTGCTAAAATATATGCCTAACATACCAGAGGTTTGACCCCCAGCACTACAGAAAAAGAAACAAAAACCTGTTATTTATAAAATCTGGAATAATTTTTCTAGCCTGTTTCAAGCAGAATCCTTTTGATATATCAACTGGAACCCCAGTTCTAAATAACTTTTTGAAAGATTTACTTATTTTATTAGTAGTTTGCTTGCATGTATTTCTGTGCATATATGTGCCTGGAGACCACAGAAGACAGAAGCAAGCATTGGATCTCATGCAACTGGAGTTATGGATGGTTGTGAACCACCACGTAGGTGCTGGGAATCAAACCTGGGTCCTCTGCAAGAGCCACAAGCACCCTTAACTGAGACAACTCTCCATCCCTATTCTTTAATCTGACCTAGATGTTCCTTCTCTGCTGACCCAGCCACTACTCCTAAGTCCCACATTTAAATCATCCTATGCTACTGTGAGGTTAGTTGCATCCATAGTCCATTTGTATATTCTTAGCTTCTGTAAGATGCTGCCCAGGTTTTAATAAACTGACTTGAAAAAGTCCCTTATCATATCCAACATATATAACATATAGAAAGTATCAAATGTTTGATCAAAGAGACAAGTTTGATTATTTTAGCACCTTCCTCTAAATTACAGAAATAAAAGATCAGAAGTCTGTTTTTGATTCAACCTTACATTCTTGAATTTTCTTACTTTCAACCTTAAATACTTAGATTTTAACTTCAATGATCTTCTGTCAATTGGTAGCTAGTGAAATAAATAACCATTTATGGGGCTGGAGAAATTTCTCAGTGGTTAAGAGCACTTGCTGCTCTATAAAGGACCAGAGCTCAATCCATGACATCCACATGACAGCTCACAACTGTCTGGAACTGTAGTTCCAGGAGATCTGACACCCTCTCCTGGCCTCCTTGGGCACCAGGCACACACGTGTGGTGCACAAGCATCCATACAATTAAAGCAGTCATATATATAAAACAACCTACGAATATTTTAAATAATAGATATTGCTAGCACAACATGTATCTCACCTACCTTGAGATGTTTTGTCAAATCATTATGAACTGCAGCTGGAAAGTAAATTACTTCTTGTACTTCATCAAAGAGTCTGTCTGAATTTTTTCCAAAAATAACCCTATTTCCAACTGTTGCTTGAGGTAATGCCACAAAAGTGTCACAGGAATAGGGTTCCATTTCTTTAAAAAAAAAAAAAGTGAAAGCATAGACAAGTTTCAAAATAAAAAAGAGGAAACACTTTTAAGTACACATAAAACAAAGAACTTTTCTCTGAGACCGAGGGATTATACCTAAGAAGGGTGCACAGTAAAGTTTTAAATATCGTATTATTTCTCTGCATCCCAGGGCAGCCAGGTGAATACAGTAAGATCTGTCTTAAACGAATAGCAGAAACTACAAAACATAGAGTATGATTTAGTAATTAACCATGTTCTACTTTATAACATGGCAGTAAGAGCCACTTTCTTGTAGTCTGTGGTCAAGGTTTCTCTGTAAACCTCTCTTGAATCCTTCCTACTCCTCTATGTCTGCAGCCGCTGCTCATGTCCTAGGCCACTGTCTTTGTGTATGCATGAGGCCCCTTACTGGACAGTGGGATCCTTGAGAGCTGGAGGACCTCTTGTTAGTTTTTCTATCATTATTGAAAATTATGTAAAGATTGAGTGGTGGTGGTGCACACCTTTAATCCCAGGAGTTGGGAGGCAAAGACAGGTGGATCTCTTTGAGTTGGAGGCCAGCTTGGTCTATAGAGTGAGTGCTAGGAACAGCCAGAGCTACATAGAGATACCCTGCCCTTGCCCCAAACATAAATGACAACAACAAAACAAACAAAAAAAACCCAAAAAACAAAAAGGAACTTAGATAAACAAACAAATGTTCCCAATATTGCTACAGACGAGTTCCCCTTTGGCTTAAAGAAAAATGCACACAGAGACTGTAATAGTGAAAAAACAGAAATTTTGAAGCAGATCCAGTACTTTGGAGAAATACAACAAAGATGTTAATGAGATTCTCACTGTTGGGGGCAGAGGCAGGTGGATCTCTGAGTCTGAGGCCAGCCCTGTGTTCCAGGACAGCCAGAGGTAGTAAAACAAACAAAATTCCAACTTTAGTGTTTTCAGGAAGATCACATTTGTAACTTAGAAATCCTGATTGTAGAACTAACGTAGGAATCCTCTTCATCTGTGATCTGGAAAAATCTTAAATTCTAGTTTCTAGAGCCATTCCAAAACCATTCAAAGTCTCCTATTTTTATTTTGCTTTCAGAATAGACATAGTTTTAGTTTTCTTCTTTTATTTATCTTTTTTAAGGTTTATTTTTACTATTTGTGTGTGTGTGTGTGTGTGTTTACCATAAGAATAGGAATGCCTTAGAAGGCCAGAAGTGGACCTCAAACCTCCTGGATCTGGAGTTACAGGTTGTAAGGCATCGTGCACACATCTGTGTGTTAGGAACTGACCTCAAGTCTTTGGTAAAAACAATGAGCTAACTTAACCATTGAGCTCCTCTAACCCAGTTTCCTTCTTTTATAAGAACCAAATCTTGCTGGTGGTGGTGGTGCACACCTTTGATCCCAGCACTTGGGAAGCAGAGGCAGGCAGATCTCTGAGTTCCAGGACACCCAGGGCTACACAGAGAAACCCTGTCTTGAAAAACAAACAAGAAGAACCAATTCTTAGCATAGTTTTATACAGCAGCATTCTAATGATTTTAAAACAAAATAAAAAATATATAATATAAATAGAGTAAATGCTTTATTGAAAGGAAAGCAAAGCAGGATATGGTAGCACACCTATAATCTCAGGACTGGGCAGGATGAGGTAGCGTTTAAGGCTAGCCAATGTTTCAACAAAATGTCTTAAGAAACAAGTTCACCATGGGACAAGTAAAGGGTCTTCACCATCTCAAAGATAGGAAAAGGTACCACTGTTTTTGTTTTGTGTCGCCTGTCTAAATTTTTTACCCCAATACATAACTTAGGCAGGCTATTAACTCTCCTTCTCCTTTTTTCAGGCTCATCAGTACTAAAACAAACAAACAAACACATACATACATACATACATACATATTAAAATAGCACATAGGGTTGATTCAAAGATTTAGTAAAAACCCGAAGGCGAAAAGCCGGCTTGGTAGTGCATGCCTGTAATCCAAGCTTGAGCTTTACGTGGACGGTGTCACAAATAACACAAGATAAAAAACCTAGACCACAGCCAACTCCCAAATGAAAGCTGTCATCTGTTGTAACTTGGCACATTCTTATCCTCGCTAGAGATCAGTGGACTAAGCCTTGCCTACACGAACTGGGATAGCGGCAACAACTAAGAAAACAGCACCCAGGGAGATATCCCTTGTCCCTAACGTGTTCTCATCATTTTCACGATGTTTGTTGAACATATTTCTGCATGGCTAGAAATAACCCAAGGAAGTTGGGTGTAGTGGCACAGGCCTTTAATCCCACCACTGGGGAGGCAAAGGGTCTGTAAGTTCAAGGACAGCCAACGCTACATGGTGAGACTCTGTCTCGAAGATACATAATAATAACAATTATTAAACAGTAACAGTAATTGGAAAGGAAGAGCCTCGGTTCTTGAGGCGCTAACAGTCTATTCCGGTGCTTTTGGTAACAGCAATCCTCCGAGTCTCACAAACGTCCCATAGTTGGCGTGAGACTACCTCCATAATCTATATGGGAACTGCGCTGCAAAAGAAAATTTTTGCAACTGGAGTCCGCGTTGCCAGAAAGTGCTGGGCTCGAACTTCAAGACCTCGCTTGTTCGAGCTGCCTGCGCTCGGAACGAAGCTGGCGCAGGAGAGCCCGCCGCCGCTCGCGACCCTGCAGAAAGCGAGCAATGCGCAGAGTGGGCTCCCCAGCTTACCTCAGCTGCGCACGCGCGGACGCCCGGCAAGCCGCGGCCGCTACGAAAAGCAACTGCCGGAAGAAACGAGGAGGGGCGGCCCCAAGCGTTAACCACGGAAGTAGTCACCCCAACCTCGGAAGTTCTCTCCCATGCTCGCCTAACAGTTCCGGTGACGCTCCCGGAGTTTGTTTACGTTCTTAGCAGACCTAGCGGTTGGCTTCTCCGTCTCAGACTCCAAGATGGGGAAGTCATTCGCCAATTTCATGTGTAAAAAGGACTTTCATCCTGCGTCCAAATCCAACATCAAGAAGGTGAGTAAAGGGATCCGGAGAGGGCAGCGATGTGCTGAGCTCCCTGAGAGGGTCGTATCCTCTACGTGGTCTGGAGCGGTCGATCTTTACTCCATGCTAACCCAACAGACCTGTCTTCGGCCCGTCAGGGTCCGTCTCCTACAGCCCCAAGGCCCGTGAACTCTGCTCCTCTAGGTCGAGACTCCTGCTTAACAGAGATCTTCTGAGAGAAATCCTCCCCTACTTTCTGTCTCCATCCAGGAGTGTGGTTTCTGATGGCCGCGTTCAAGTTTAGCTTTTTAAATAATCACAGGTCAGCCGGTTGCTGGACACAGAAGGGCCGTGGTGAGAATTACCGCGCGAAAGAACGGCGGCAGAGAGTGTCTGGGCTTTAGATTCAGACCAGTATTCTTTAGTTCAGTATAGTCACATGTAGCCCTGAGGCCTTGCACAAAATAGTCAGTGATATGATCATTAGCCTCCTACCCTATTGATTTGAGAATTATCAGTGTCAGTTACCCTAGTTTGTAAAATTTTTAGGAAGATTAGATGAGATAGTATGGGAAAAGGCTAGAAACGCAAAATGAAGGCTTAGCACTTATCAGGAAAAGTACTCAAAAGTACACAAACTTGTGAGAATATATTACGATTTTAGTTTCTAAACCAGTTGTGGGTCCTGTATGTTACCATGCATCTAAAGAATGTATATATTAACATACATGTACATTATGATGTCTGTGGAAGAACATAACAAGAAACGCTAACACTGGTTATCTACAGATATAGTTACTTGAGTTTTTAAGACAATTTGGGGGGAAAAATCTTGCCACATCTTTCTATCTCAGCCTTACTTCTTGACCCCAAAATCCTTGTTCTATTTATTTTGTACATATTCCTAATCCCCACGAGTCTACTTCTTTACATGTTTCATAGCCTCTTTTTTTTTTTTTTTGCTTGTAGTCTAAGCTGGCTTCAAACTTGCTGTCTAGGGAGGATGGCCCTGAACTCCTCATCCTTTTGACTCCACCTCCCGAATGCTGGGATTACAGGTGGAAGCCACTGCACTCAACTTCATTTCTCCTAAATCATAAAAATTGTTTATAATATTGCAGAAGAATCATTATGAGCACTTTGACGATGGAACTGTGTCTTATTCTTAATTTGGTTAGTGGAATATAAGTTTGTGAACAGTCGAGAGACTTATCTAAAGCTTGAGATACATGGTAATTTTTCTGTTTTGGTTGAGGTCTCGCTGTGTAGCTCTGGCTGGTCTGGAATACTTAGTAGTCCTACCTCAGCCTCTTGAATTCTGGGATTAAGGACATGAGCCAACACACCCAGCTAAACACAGTGAAAACCGCTACAGGGCAGGTGCCATCCTGGAAGAAGCCAGTGAACTCTAACCACAACGCACAGGTCAAAGATAGCCGGGTTCTCTTCTAAGTGCTGTCAGCATCTTCTCATTTCAGTGTATTAGGTGTGCTTCATTATAGGAGATAAGTGGGCTGGAGGGCTGTCAAAATAGCTAGTGGCTAAAGTACTTGTTTCACATGTGTAAGGATCAGAGTTTGGATCCCCAGAATCCCTTGGTAATCCTAGCCTTCATGAGAAGAAGACAGGAGTTCTTTGTGCAAGCTGGTAACTGGACTAGTAGAATTGTTGACCTCTTGGTCCAGCGAGAGACCCTACCTCAGTAAATAAAGAGGAGAGTGACTGAAGAGTTTGTTTGAAACCCTGGATTCCACACTCACATACTTGCACACACACGCACACTGTTATTACTTAATTTGAATCCAATTGTTAGATGATATTTTGTTTCACTAATATAGGTATGGATGGCGGAACAGAAAATATCATATGATAAGAAGAAGCAAGAAGAATTAATGCAACAGTACCTTAAAGAGCAGGAGTCGTATGATAACAGGTAAGTTGGTGTTGCCTGTCATCCTGTGACCACCCCATTAGTTTTAGAATAATCAGTTATGGAGTCAGCTTCACTCCCCTAATTACACACTGTCACCTTTCCAACTTGACCCATTCTTCACATAAAGTCCAGCTTCATCCCACTCTTCCAGCCTGTGAGCAAACCCTACACGAGGCAGGGCTTTCAGAGACGATGAGCACTGCATGTTACCTACCGAGACTGACTGTGAAGCTTGCTCTCTAATGACTGAAATAAAGGGATGTTCAGGACACTTAGAGGAGAAGCCAGGAATCTTTGACCTGTCCATCATGGCCAGAGTCCACCGGCTTGATCCGGGCTAGTTCCTACCTTTTAGCTACTTTCATTGTGTTTATTCCTCGTTAATTAATTGAGTGGAGGTATTTTGTTTCTCTAGACTGTACTCTGAAGCAACACTTATCTTTGGAACATTTACATTTGAAACATGAGACATTCATCAGTTTCTGGATAATTGAGTCATACTGTTAACACTGACATAGAAGTATCTGCTCAGTGCTGTCTCAGTTGCTTGTCTTACGTGCTTAGGAGCAGAACTGCTGCATCTCTATTGGTCTAGCTTTTTAAGGAGCCATCAAAGTTTTCCATAGTAACTGCTCTATAAATACATTTCTGACTATTAATGCGGAACGTTTTGTTTTCCTACTTGCTTGGCGTTTGTAATTTTGCAGTTTTCTCTTTTTTCTTATTTTTATTTATTGTCATTGTTATTTTCTTAAAACGGGGTTTCACATAGCCTAAACTGGGTTTGAGCTCCTACGTAGCCAAGGATGACCTAGAACTCTAGATTCTCCTGCCTTGAACTTCCAAGTGCTGGGTGTTCTACTACACCTGGGGTATGTGGGTACTGGGAAACAAACACAGGTTCCGTGGGCCAGACCAGCGCCCTCCCAACTGAGTTGTAGCTCGGCTCATACATTAGTAACCATGCTGACCAGTATGAAGTGGTAGCTTGCAATTTTGATTTGTATTTCTCGATGTCTAGTGAAACTAATGTTTTCATGTACTTGATTTAAAAAATGTTGAATGGTGTTAAGACAAAATTCATAGATATTTAAAATACACCTAAATTTTTAAGTTTGTTTAGTGTTTGTTAGCTCAGTCTGTAAAGTGTTTGTCATGCAGGCATGAGGGCCTGAGTTCGGATTCCTATCCCCCACATAAAAAGACAGTTTGTGTAGTAGGTGCCTTTGATCCCAATTCTCTAGCAGGAGAGACAGGAAGATCCCTAGGGCTTGCTGGTTAACTGTTCTAGTCCAATAAGTGTGAACGCCAAGGTTACTGAGAGATCGTGTCTAAAAAGTAAGATGGCGGGCTGGCCAGATGGGTAAAGGCAGGTTCGATCTCTAAGACCCATATAAAGGTAAAAGCAGAGAACTGTTCGCACAAATCTGTCCTTCCCCCTCTCCCTCTGCCCTTCTCCTTCTAGCTCCAGCCCCTCTGGCTCTAGCCCAAAGGTTTTTATTTATTTATTATATGTAAGTACACTGTAGCTGTCTTCAGACACCCATAAGAGGGCATCAGATCTCATTATGGATGATTGTGAGCCACCCTGTGGTTGTTGGGATTTGAACTCATGACCTCTGGAAGAGCAGTCAGTGCTCTTAACCGCTGAGCTATCTCACCAGCCCACAAATCTGTCCTTTGACCTTCACATGCATGCAGACATGCTTCTACACATCACATACGATTACTTAAAAATAAGGTGAATAGTTGAAAAAAGCATCCTGCCTTAGCTTCTGGCATGCACACACATACCCACACCCACACACCCCACAATTAAATACTAAAATAGCTGACCATGGTGGTGTGCACCTTTAATCTCAGCAGAAGCAGGTAGATCTCTGTGAGTTTGAGACCAGCCTGGTCTGCAACTGGAGTTCCCAAACAGCCAGAGCTATACAGAGAAACCGTGTCTCAAAAAGCCAGAAAGAAAAAAACTAAGTTTTTTTTTTTTTAAATTAAAGATTGTGGCACCAAAATATCTGATAGCATACAGGATTTCAAAACTAACAGTTTCAGCAACAGGTCACAGTTTTAAAGAAAATCCTGTTAGAGTAGCCATATCATCCTTTTACTTTCTTACTGAGAGAGCTGGAGGGAGGGAGGAAGCCTCAGACTGACAGCAAGTTTCTAGTTAGCACTATTCAAGGCTTGTCTTAGTTTCTCCAGGGTTCCTTCCAAGGGATAGTGCGCTGTCGTATTCTTCTCAACTTAAACTTGTGTCGTTCTTTCATTCAGATTGCTTATGGGAGATGAGCGTGTAAAGAATGGCCTGAATTTCATGTACGAGGCCCCACCAGGAGTTAAAAAAGGTACCTGCCTCATTTCCTTTGAGCTTTGATGTGATTACCTGTAAAGATTTAGAAGAAGAGACAGTATTTTAAAAGTTTATTTGTATTTTCCATTGCTGTTGCTCTCTGATAATGTTATCATGAGCAAAGTAAAATAAACACAGTTTCTAATGTAGCAGCTTATGCACTTTGAGAGGAAATGCTCAATGCTGACAGAGGTACCTTCAGCCCTTCCAGAATGTAAACATATCTGTAGTCCTTATTAAAATACATTTTCAAATGGAAAGTATTCACTGCCAGTGAAAACATAAAGGCTTAAAAATTAGGAATTAACATGCCTATTCTGAACGATATTTCAGTGTTGTTATGTCCTTCTGTGTTAAGCAGTAGACTTTTCTGCTGACATTTCTAACTTGTCCTGCTTCCCCCCTGTGCTTTGAATATGCAATCAAGAAAACAAAGAGGTAAAGTACTTTCCTCTGTTTGAATTGATTTATAGTTGATTGTGATTTTATGGACAATTGACAGATTTTTTTTTCTTTTTTTTAATGACTGCTGTAGAAAGAAGAGACGGAAGGAGAGACCGAGTACAAGTTCGAATGGCAGAAAGGCGCTCCGAGGGAAAAGTAAGGCTGCTCTGCTACGGGGAAAGCCTATGGTGTCTGCGGTCCATCTTGCCTCCTGCTTGTTAAGGTTCAGTCTCCAGGGCAGGAGACCAATGTGAAAGGGAGTTGTAAAGACTTACATCCTACAGACAGTAGACAGTGCGCTTCATTCAAGCCTGGATTTATGTACTTGTTCATTCTTTAAAACTGTACATTACCAGACTATACAGACGCTTAAAAATCGATGCTGCTTTTATATTTTATTGTAATAATATATTTCATAATGTTTTAAAAGCTATAACCTTTTTTCAGGTTAACTGTCATTGAATTTGTTCAATTGTTCTTAATATTATAGTCACATATTTGTTTTATACTTGACAGATATGCCAAAGATGACATGAACATCAGAGACCAGCCCTTTGGTATTCAGGCAAGTAACAAATTTCTTCTTTAAGAATAATGTTTTTTTGTTTTTTTGGTTTTGGTTTTTCGAGTCAGGGTTTCTCTATGTAGCCTTGGCTGTCCTGAAACTCTGAAGACCAGGCTGGCCTCAAACTCAGAAGTTCACCTGCCTTTGCCTCCCAAGTGCTGGGATTAAGGGCGTGCGCCACCACTGCCCGGCTAAGAATAATTTTTATTTAGTACATATATCTTTACATTATTTTCCAGAAAATGTTTGTATTAGAGTTCTCTAAAGAACAAAACTAATAAGATGAAAAAAATGCACACACACATATATTAGGGACTTATTATGCTAGCTTAGAGTATGTGATTCATAGTCAGGCGATGGCTATCTCAGGATAGCTGTTTGGTCCAGGAGGCTATGTCTCTGCAGTCCTAGTCTGCAGTCCTGGAGAATTCCTGGAGAGCTGCTAGTCTTTCTGTAGTCTGTGTTGGAATCTTGAGGAAGTTGGCTTTAATACAAGCAGCAGCGGGATAGGGGACTTGAACTTGCCAGTGAGAGAAAGAGTGCCAGCAGGCAAGCTCAAGACTTCCTTCTTTGAATTCTTATGTGGACTGTCACCAGGAGCTGTGGCCCAGGGCTAATGATCTGATCAAGAAAACCCCTCACAGGAGTGTCCAGCAGTGTGGGGTTTAGTTGATTCCTTATGTAGTGAGGTTGCCCGCCAGGATCAGCATCACAGTGGTGAAGCTCCAAAAGAACTTTGTGGTTTATATTTATGTCAAGTGACAGGACTGAGGAGAAAACGTGAAGTGTGATAGGCACATGGAAGATGAGGGTCAAGTTCTCTAGTGAAGGGATAATGGTGTGGTCACTACAGTTTTCAAGTAATTTAGAGAACTAACTCAAGGTCAAGAAAAGATGCTACAAGTATCACTGACTTAGAAACAGTCACCTGCCCCTCTGGGCTGACCCCCATGAGAACCCGTACCTTAGTCATATGTGCGCTGTCTGCGGCAACTTTCCTGCTACATGTGTTACAACAGCAGAGTGGAGAGGTTGCAAACAGACACAAACATAAACAGCTTAAAATACCATTTTGACTTTACAGGATAAATTTGCTAACCACTGCCTTAGAAATGGGAAATGTCAGGGATAGAGATAGCAGCTCAATGAAAAAACACTTTCACATTGTGTTATGAGGACCTGACTTCAGTTTGGAGCAGGATGGAAAATAAAGAATGGAAATGTAGCTGGGTGGGTGGCACAGGCCTGCGTTCCCAACGTGGAAAAGGCACAGGCCAGGCGAGATGGAAAACTCAACCTGGGCTACCCAGTGTAACAGAGGCAGCCTGGGCTACCCAGTGTAACAGAGGCAGCCTGAGCTACCCTGTGTAACAGAGGCAGCCTGGGCTACCCTGTGTAACAAAGGCAGCCTGAGCTACCCATGTAAAAGAAGGCACTGTTACAAGGGAGGGAGGAAGAATATTTAAGTGAATGTATTAAAAATTAGGGAATGTAAAATTAAACCATGATGTAACTCTCTTTGTGATGTTTTTACCATTTCATCTTAAATGACATTGTAGGAAACACAGATAGGAGTCAGCTTAGACTTTAGACAAAATTTATAATACAGGATTTTAGTATTTAAATCGAATTACCTACCATAATTATAGAATTGCTTTCCCTGGGGATCTTTTGTTAAAGTAATTTAGCCAAATATGGTACATGTTTTAATCCCAATGCTCTGGAAGCATAAGCGATGGATCTCCGTGAGTTCAAGGCCAACCTAATGTACAAAGCAAGTTCTAGACCAGTTAGGGCTACATAATGAAGCCCTGTCTTCAAAGTGAAAAGGAAGACAAGTGGGGTGGGGGGATCTAAGTGGAGTGGGGGGCCATCAGTGGGGTGGGGGGACCTAAGTGGAATGCTAGGCTATTGGTATTTGAGACTCAAAATAATGTTTATTATTTCTCAGGTTCGAAATGTCAGGTGTATTAAATGTCACAAGTGGGGCCATGTGAACACAGACCGAGAGTGCCCCTTGTTTGGTCTTTCTGGGATCAATGCGAGTTCAGTTCCTACTGACGGCTCAGGTAGGCATTAGACACAAATTATTTGTTTTAGAATTTTGTCAGACAAGGAGAGAAAAAAATAACATTTTAATTTACCTGAACTTTCTTGTTGCTCTTGAGTTGAGTTTACACTCCCCAAATAGGATGACCAGAGCCAGTAGTATAACTCAGCAGTAGAGGGTTTTGTGTGTCAAGTGTGTATGAAGTCTTGGGTTCAGTCCCCAGCACGCCACTCTGTCCTCCCTGCCCACTGCAAAAGGATGGTAAGTGGGAAATTCTTCATTGGGTTGAATTTGAAGTGCTCTAGAATAGAGTTTAGTTTTTCTAGCTAAGTGTCTGTGTGAACTTTATTCTTTTGTTGTGGTGTTTTTTTTTTTGTTTTTTTTAAGCAAGGTATCATAAAAGCCAAGCTGGCCCCAAATGCACTATGTGGCCAAGTACGGCCTTGAAAGTGGTATGTGTGGGCGTGGGCACACACATGTGTGCATGTGTGTGTATGTGCATGTGTGTGTATGTGCGTACATGTGTACACATTTGTGTATATGAATGCAAATATGTGGCTTCCAGGAGGAATGGAGGTCTGGATGTACATGACACCCTCTGCTGTCATCCGGCCTCGTCCTCCACATTAAGACAAGATATCTTTGTTGTTGGATGCTGCGTACTCCAGGCTTGCTAGTCTGTAAGCTTCCAGGCAGTCTCCTGTCTCTACTTCTCTCTTGTGGTAGGAAGACTAGTGTCTTAGCTACTTTTCTATTGCTTTGAATGGGTAATTCCCATTACCAAGGAAACTTACAGAAGAAACACTCTATGTGGGCCTTACCATTTCAGAGGTTAGAATCTATGCCCACCATGGCGAGGAGCATGGCAGCATGCAGAGTGCTATAGCAGTAGCTAAGAGCTTGTGTCCTTATCTGCAACTAGGACAGAGAGCTAACTGAAAAGTTTTCATTTAAACTCCTCAGTACCTTCTTAGTATTTCATCAAAGCCCAACACAAAATAGATCATAGTGGAAATAACCTACTCACCTCTGTAGCATAAAACAGGTTACATTACTTACATGACTTTTAGCTCCTGATGTTAAAAATAAGGTCTATCTCTGATTTCCATCTTTTTTTTAATTTATTTATTTATTATATATGAATACACTGTAGCTGTCTTCAGACACACCAGAAGAGGGCATCAGATCTCATTACAGATGGTTGTGAGCCACCATGTGGTTGCTGGGATTTGAACTCAGGACCTCTGGAAGTGCAGTCAGTGCTCTTAACCACTGAGCCATCTCTCCAGCCCCAGATTTCCATCATTTTTAAAGCAGCTAAAAAACTACTTTTCACCTTCTTTGTTCTCGTCTATATTTTAAAAGCGTTATATATCCAGTATTGGAGTAGTGGTAAAATAAACACTTTGAAAAACAGGCTTTCTAAAGGCTATTTGAAAGTGTAGATAAAAAAAGTACTTTAAAAATAGAGCCAGGGAGCTGTCTCAGTGGGCAAAACACAAGTTTTGTCGTTAAAGAATAGAAGCAACCCAAACGTTATCAGTGAGGAGTTCATAAAGTAAACATTTATCTAACATATGTGCAGGGAAGGTCTTGTAGCTCCCTGGTAGAACACGTGCCCCACTTTAATTTTAATTACTGATGTGATGGGCAGTATTGAGGTAGTTTTGACATGTAAGTGTAGCCCAGAGTGACCTCAAACTTGTGGCAGTCCTCCTGCCTCAGTGCTAAGATTACAGGCTGAACTACCGTGCTTGCTTTTGAAAATTAATTTTTTTAAGATTATAGTTTGTTTGCTTAACTGTGTATTTATCATTGTACACATAAGCCAGTAAATTTTGTGTTTTAACTTACAGAAGATACATGTTCTACCCGTGCATTCTGATGAACACTTTTAACATGTCACATGAGAATACAGACAATAGCTCCAACTTTTCAGTCTAGCCAGGAGCAGACCTGATTCTCTGAATTTTCCTATGAGAGAAAGACTATTAGCCAAGGGCAGCCTTGTGTAGGGTAAGCCTGACAAAGTACAGAAGACCAAACATAAAACGTAAGCACAAAGCAGTTAACTTGGGTCACTTTAGATGATTAGAATCAGGTGTAAATGGCTCTCACAAAAAGTAGATTGGCTAGTCATGCTGCAGCCTGTATTTCCTAACCTAATAGTCTAAAGCAGCACTCCTCAGTTGGGGGGGAGGGGTGCGGTGACTCTTCTACAAGGTCACCTGATCCATTGGAAAACACAGATATTTACATTATGATTCATAGCAGTAGCAAAATTACATTTATGAAGTAGCAGTGAAAATAATTTGTGGTTGGGGGTCACCACAACGTGAGGGACTGTATGTATTAAAGGGTGACACGTTAGGAAGGCTGAGAACCACTGGGCTAAGGAAGCACTTAGATATTTTGTCTAAATACTAACTTCCTGGAGCTGGAGAAGTGGCTCAGCAGTTCAAGACATGGGATGAGTTCCCAGCACCCGGGTAGTGGCTCACAATCGCCTGTCCGTGGGAATCCAGTCTTCTGGCCTCCACTGTCACTGTGTGTAACACGGTACCCGAGAAGAGACCACACTTAGGCACATGTGCACATGCACACGCAGATGAATTTCTAAATATTTTTGTTTTAGCTTCCAAGTGCCATCAGAGACTGTGCCTAAATGAGACGCGCAGAGGGAAGGCCTCAGTGTCTCGAGAGGCTTGTGCTCTGGATATGGGAAAGCTGTTGCACGAGAATTGACGGCTCGGCATAGTGTATCTGTGTTCTGTGGGAAGGGGAGAAGTTTGGAGGAAAATGAAAGATATACTGAAATAGCTTTTGGAAGGGGGCTGTACTTTCAGCGTTTCTCATTTTCACTTGTCACATAATCTAATACTAGGGAAATAGGGAAGAAGAACTGTAGGTATGTTGGGTGAGCTAAGGGGCACCGATTGAATCTGGACTATGAGTCTAATATAAAGCCACATGCATGTCTGTTAGGACTGAGTGAAAATACAGAGAAAAATACAGTGAAATACAGAGTGAAAATAGTCAATATGTTAATTTGGTAAGGTTACAGGTGATTTTTATTTTATATTAAATGTGTGATTAATTAAAATTGGAAAAGAAGCTTAAAATGTGGGCCTCTCAGCATTGAGTGTCATGTGATGGTCTTGAGAACACTAACGTTTTCTTTTATATTCCCATATTAAGCTTACTTTCAAAATTATAGGAATAGCTAAAGAGAGCTCAGTTACTAGTGTGTTGTAAAGGCTGTGTTCATAATCAGAAATAGCTAACCGACTGAACTAATTCTTGCCTCAGTCTTTATAGAAATATGATGTTAGGGAAATTTCCATTTGCAGTTTTTCCTTTTAAGTTGACAAGATGAAAGTACAAGAATAAATACAAATAAATACATAGAGACTTCGGTTCTGTGTAGCATGTACACTAAGAATGTCTGAAGGCACTAACTCTGATTAAGTGAAGAGAAAAATAGAGCAGAATGTTTGCCGTCTGTGCTACAATGACATGAACTAATGCAAGTTCCCAGTGGGGCCAGGATGACCTGGTTAGTGCCAGTTCCTGAGAAGCTGAGGCAGAACGTTTGAGCTGCATAGTGAGACTCTGAAAGAAGGTCCTGATCTGTACCTGATGCGTGTCAAGGTTGAGAACCATTTACTTAAACCACTTGTAAGAACAATTGAGATTCAACATGATGGTATTCACTTCTGTTTGCTTAAATTGCAGAATTCATAAAAGTCATCCATTTTTATCCTAAGGAAATAATCATGGATATGTCACTAAAGATTTTGTATAGCACAGAGCAAAAATGCCTAAATATGTAATAACAAGCTATTAAGTGAATAAGTGTGAGCATTATTACCATGGCTTACTGTACTGTGCAACAATTAAAATGATAGGAAAAAACTTGGCTCGCTGGTGTACACTTTGATGTCAACACTTAGGAGGGAAAGGTGATCAGATCTCTGCAAGTTCAAGGCCAGCCAGGGATATACAGTGAGACCCTTTCTAGATAAATAAATGATGGTACAAAGATCATACAAAAATCCATTTCTTAATAATATGAATATTGTTTACAACATTTGGTCAGATAAAAAGACAGATTATACTATATTAAGACCAGAGTTCAGTGGTAGAGGCCTTGCCTACAGTGTATGAGGCCCTGGCTCTGAGTCCTAGCATCACAGCACTTGTAATTAATTACTTAATTAAGCAGTAGTTAAACTTGTTTTTCTTCTTCAGGTAGGCTTGAAGTGAAATGCATAATTAGAAAAAGTGTTGGAGCCGGGCGGTGGTGGCGCACGCCTTTAATCCCAGCACTTGGGAGGCAGAGGCAGGCGGATTTCTGAGTTGGAGAGTTCGAGGCTAGCCTGGTCTACAGAGTGAGTTCCAGGACAGCCAGGACTACACAGAGAAACCCTGTCTCAAAAAAACAAAAACAAAAAAAAAAAAAAAAAAAAAAAAAAAGTGTTGGAAGAAAATAGATCAAATGTTAACATTGCTATTATTTGACTGATAGAATTGCCTAAGACACTTTGCCCCGTATTTTTTCCAACAGAGAAAATAAATCACACTTCACATTTTTTAATGAATATTTTTGTAAAAGAATTAAAAATTATACATAAGGGATTGGGTATTTTAAATCACATTGCTCCATTAACAACAATGCCTTCAAAGTCTGACCTGAGTTTAATGCTAGCACTTAATGAAAGCTAACAGGAACTCTTAAAGGCTCCTCAAAAACAGAATCAAAACACTGCTATATCAAATAGGAAGACAAACAATGCCTGTGTGTTCTAAATTTGAATGCAGTAAAAAATAAACTGACCAATTTCCTAATCTACTTGCTGATTCAAGCTAAAAACGTCTTTCCATTTAAAAAAAAAAAAATCACCTATTGAATAATGTCCCGCCAGTGAATAGAGATTATTTTTGCAATAAGGCAATTTCAGTGGATGTGGTTATCATGGGATAATCACACCCCTGGGGTACAGCCTTGTGCCTGTAATC